AAGGAACGCCGAAAAATTTTCCCGCTAGGTCGGAGGAAAGACTAGTATGTTTTCCGGTTGTAACGTAATAACCAAGGCCTAGGGCCTAGTATAAGTTGGGGGGGTAGATAAGCTGGCTGTGCCGGTTCGTTTAGCGCCGGATTTAGGTCCCTAGGAGCGCTAGTTGTTACGTTCCCTTCTAATAGTTGTTTTGTGGACAAGTTATATGCCTTTAACTACTTATAACGGTTTAAGAATAGAGATAATTCTATAGTATAGAACCTCTATACTACTATCCCCTCCTACTCTACTATCCGCTCCTTTTACCTTCCCTTTTCCTCCTAGATTAATAAATTACATGTAAACTAGTAGCAAAACTCTTTAAATAGTTATAGCCTACATATCGCTTAGGGCGATAGGTTAGGGTAAATAAATATAACTTAACTCAACTTAACTTAATTCTAACGCCTAGGCTAAAGAGGCCTCGTTATACCTAGCTAGTCCTAAATAGACCGTCCGTTATAGTTTCTAACTATATATAGACGTAAAATTAATTAATTAATTAATTAATTCGGGCTCTCCGCTTAACGCGCTAAAATAGAGAGGTTAGAGATATAGACTTTTTTCGTTAATTTATAGTATAAAATAAGAGGTACGAGTTCCTATTCTCTACCCGCGCGTCTTCGCGCGTCTAGGCGAGAGCGCGCGATACGACGAGGCCTAGTTATTCTACTAGAATAGAGCTATTTAGGCAGGCAGTAAGGGGGGGGAGGAGGTAGGTAAAATATCTAAAGAGGGGTAGGTAAAATATCCGGGGCCAATTTTTATACTATATATATCTATAATAACAGATTAGCATTCTTCTAGCTAAAAGAATTCCGAGCTTTTAAGTCTTAAAATTATTATAGGCTTTAGTAAAACGGCTAGGCTAATCAAAATGTATTTAACAAAACCATAGCTATGACTCTCCAATATAAAAAGATTCACGTAAATTCAAAGACCAACCATATTGTTGCCTGTACCGCTGTAACCAATGCGTATACTGCCGCAACAGCACTCAACCCTTCCTGCCAGCCCTTTCCATAAGAGCCAACCTCGAAGCATATCCAAAAGCACATAGAAAGTACGATAGGGATAAAGATCGCGGCGCGAGTTTTAGAAAGTTTACGGCGTACCATAAGTGCCATAGAGTCGCCGCGTACGAACTCCTTGTCTGTACACAGTAGTTTGCCTGCTTTCGATGAGATGAACGTTTTACAAGACTGGCCGCGACTTGGCTTAGTTCCAAGGGAGCGTAGAAGGTGGTAGTCCTCGAACCGGCTGTTGATCGACACCTGTACTGGATAGGATTTTGATTCAGGGTCTTCATGTACCTAATTAGGGTTAGAAAGGGAGATCTGGGAGCTTATAGTTGGGCTTACTGCAGTATATTGCACCACCTCAACCACACGACGGGTTAACAATGGCTCAAACAACCGCAGAAATCTCATGTACATGGGCTTTGGGAGGGTGTTGCAAGCATCCATAGCTTTCCGCATAGCAGTATGGCAATCATCCGATGTGTGAGTTGTGAATGCGTAGATGTAGCTTCCGTGACGATTTTCGGTAGCAATGTGAATGAATAATGTCTTGCAAGATTGTTGTGCGGGCGGAACTGAGTTTGTTTGCAAGACCGTGTTGTGCTCGCTTATCATCTTTTCAGCGTGCTCGAGCACTGAGGTTGCTGTTCCTCTTGTGGGGCTGTTTTCAGATATCATGGCCGCTCCGGTGGCCTGCTTAGGAGATTTATCCAAAGATTGAAGTAGTCACTAGCCAGACGTTGTTGGATGCCAATTTCGCATGAATTTCTCAATCATCGGATCCGTTGCAGATGCAAATACTTATATAGACGTTTAGAAATTCTCATCTGAACAAAAAGTTAAATGTCACGTAAGAAGTGCGAATTGCGAAGTGCGAATGCAGAGTGCGAAAGGCGAAAGGCGGATTGTAAATTGCGAATAGCAGATGGCGGAGAGGATAAACAGCGTAATGCGGAACGCAGAATGCGAATTGCGAAGCTGTGTAAAAATTGTGTAACATGTCGGATAATGATGGCGCAGTAAGCGGGTTCTTACACCGGGGTGTAAAGCTCTTGGCTTTCGGAGACTTTCTTGGATATCAACGCCTTTTGTCTGTCAGTGAAGCCGTTCTTGTTTTTGTGCTATGGTATGGGATACCAATGATTTTTCTCGGAATACATTTTTTAACATAGTTGGCTTTGCATCCTTATTCAGTTTCAAATCTAAGATCTTGCCCTGGTAGTTGTATGGGTCCCACGTAAATTGGGTCGAATCTGCAATTTTGAGTTTTAAGTAAGACCTTGGTATTGAATACTAACTTTGAATCTTCGGATAGCCATATGTCGCGAAAGATAGCCAACTGTTACAGTCAGTGAGTATGTTTATTTGCAAGTGTGAGGATATAATGCGGTACCCTTCCATTATAAATTTCGAGAGTCGCTTATCGTAAACTGTAGCATCCACAAGCGACTGGACATCTCCGAATAGGTATGACAGCATTGACGAGTGATATGTGCCCATGCAAGCCGCTTTGGCTACCGATGTGCCAGGATATCCATAGGACAGATTTATAGCGGAATATGGTGGCATTTGATCAAAGCGATAACCCCAAATGTTTTGGGATTTGCTTACTACGTCGAGTACTTTCTGTACCCCGGATGCAAAATAAAGGTCAGTGTAGAAAAATGTCTATGAGGGATGTTATTTTAGTCTCTGTGCCTTGGACGACAGGTGTGAAGCAAATGGTTTAGAGTGGCTTACAGTGATTTGATTAGATGAGCTTGCGTATCGTCCACCAGCAGTGACATCTATAAGAGAAATGTTTAGGATTTCCAGGTAGGTAGCATATAAACTTAAGGCCCATTGTAAAGTCGAATCATTGAAGGCATCTATAAACGTAAGCAGATATCTGGGTAATTGAAGAATTCCTTATTACAAGCCGCATCACGAATAAGGTCAATTGCTTGCATAGACTGATGTGTGCAGTCATAGAGCCGAGTGCCTTCATCGTGGTTGTATCCAACTAGCTGTTTATTAAAGTCAAATCGTTAATACGAAAAGGTCTCAAGGCTTTTAGATGCGTACCAATGGTAGATCTGCAAATTTCTGATCGATCAAACTTTGCCACGCAGATGAATTAAACCAGTATTCATCCTTGACAATACCTATGCTGTATTTGAAGCTTTTCTCCCATGTACTGTTGATACCATTGAAGATATTGTCAAGTTTTTTGAAATCCTGTCTACGCAGACAGTCAACCTCATTTGTAGCAGAACGGCAACTAAAAGCTTCCACTCAGTATGCGTATCTTAATTTCCTGAGTTTTCCTTACCCTGTGGTATCCACTAGGTTCTGAAAAGCTGCATCATACAAAGCGGCATCGTCTACTGTGAGCTGTTAGGCTAGTCTACGTAATTTTGTCTGGCATCATACCGTGAGGCCATATACCGCCAGGTGCGCCAGATATCAGCGCAGCTCCTTGGAAGAGAGATTCTGCAGAGCGCTCTTGACGGACTATGTGGGCCCAAGTTTCTGCAGAGCCAGCAGATTCACCAAACAGTGTTATCCTGTCTTTGTTTCCCCCAAACCAAGCGATGTTCCGAGATATCCATCTGAGTGCAAGCTCTTGGTCGTGTAGGCCGAGATTAACGTCGCCTGACTGTAGCAATTTGGATGAAGCCAAGAATCCGAAGCCGTTCAAACGGTAGTTGATTCCAACGTAGATGACGGGTAGACCCAGTTGTATCGACTGAGACACCAAAGCAGTGCCATTGTAAAGCGAAGCCTGACCGGTCCTGTATGCACCACCATGTAACCAGCAAATCACAGGTAATGGTTCCTTACTCCTTAAAGATGGCCGAACAATGTTGAGAAATAAGCAGTCCTCATCTTGGCTTTCTTCGGTTGTGTATTGTAGGCCTTGGGGACAGCCAGGCCCGTAATGTCGAGCGTCAATTCTCCCCGTTGGGTCAAATGGTTGCGGTCTTGTAAAGCGAAGTCCACCAGTGGGGCTCTGTCCGTATCGAATTCCTCTAAATTCTTCTGTGAGTAATGTGGTTGATATACCTTCGTATGTTTTGTTGAGAATGGTTACGAATGGGTGGTTGGAGGCTTTGGCCGCCGCTTTGGAGGCAAACAACAGAAAGATTGATAGAGCCACAAAATAACTATGATAGGCGGCCATGTTTGCAGCTGCCTATATATTCGATAGAGTGGTCCGTCCAGGACTACAACCAGGCGGCACTGTCAGAGACCGGAGTAGGGAGCCTTATCAAAGTGGGGTGGTGCCTGACCCCGCTCAGTAGTCAGCAGTGGCTCATCCGATTACTGATATGATGCACAAAATATGTATCACAGTACACAGCATCAACAAAATATGCGAAAGCCGAATCCTTGGATAAGTTAGTTCTTCGAGCCGAAGACCCATTTAAATTAAGTACAAACATCCTTGTAGATAATGTTACGATGTAGAGAATAAATAGCTAAGAGAATTCTAGGGATACTGTATCCTTTTTAGATTTCAGAGTTTATAGTTTCCAGTTTTTTATTTTATTTTCCAAAGAAAGTATACTACAATTCTCAGCGGCAAAAGCCTCAAATGCATAAGTAAGTTTGCAGATGCTGGCTGGCTTTCAATCAGAATTTTCTTGAGGTATTTCCACGACTCTTGGAAATTCCGTAACCGTCTGCTCAAATTCATGTCTTGCTGAATCAAATATTGTCGTATCGTGCCCACATATTAGCCCAGTGTCTTCAATATCGTCCGCGAGCTAGATAAAAAAGTAATTAGCTCATAACTTTTGATAAAATGATGAAGTAAAACACATACGAAGATCTGGAAACGCCACCCTGTTGGTTCTAAACAACTGTAGCGAAGACTGAGAGGGAAAACTGCACTTCTCTGACGAAGAAACGAGATCATGCTGGCCATTGATTCAAGAATGTTTGGCTCGTTGGCACAAATCTTTCCTATGCCGTCAGTCAAAATAGTGTAAAAGTTCAATCAATTTACTAACAGCATAGGCAGCCAGTAGAAAGATCGTGTAAAAAGCAGGCATAATGTTGACACGTCGGTTTGATTCGCTGCTCTCAATTATTTCCGTGAGGTTCTCTCTGAGAAGGCGGCTCGCCTCCTGAAAGAACATACGGGCTTCAACTTCGAAATTGATCCTCGTATCGAACTCAGCATTAACTGCTGAATCAGCTGCACTGAATGCATACAATGCATTGTAGACCATGTCTTCCTGTAAAAGCTGTGAGCGTTATGGGTAGAAGAGTATCCTAGAGGTTTTACTCACCGCATTTGCAATTTGTCGAAAGTCGTAGAAAAACAGATCAGACAAAGTAGTCCCAAACCTAGAACTGCACACGTTTTTATAGGTGTCCGGGCTTGCCCAAAGGTGGCGAAGACGTTCATTGAGTCGAAATGTAACGTTATTCCATTGCCGACCAGATCGTGGCTGGACTCTAAGAGTCACTGCGTGTGAAGAAGAGGTTGATTGCCGAGTACGTTCGAGTGGTATTTGGCTGGTATTATCAAATACGTCGTCAACAGGCTCAACAATCGATTCTAAAGTAACAACCCCTCTATCAAGTTCTTCAGTCGATTCCTCTTCGTGGTCTATCTGCCTCAAAGTGCTGGGAGCGGCATCACTGATTACACCGGTGGTTTCTTGTCGTATTTCTCGCAAAACACGCTTTTCGTCTTTCGCGCTTCGCCCTGGAGAGCATGCATAGCCGTAGTGTGAACAAGCGTTACACTTCTCACCCGGCCACGTACGGCGTGTGGGAATACACTAAGGCAAGGTTAGACACATGAGATAATATCTTCCAACAGGAGTGCTAAGACCTTCCGCTTGTCTCGACGACAGAACATGCATTTAAGGTTCTCGGCCCGCTTCTTAGGCTGGCGATACATGCTGATGATTTCACTGCGTTATTACCAGGAGAGATTGATGACTTGGTCCATCTAACAAGTACAAGGTACAATTTTGGTGGCTCTCAGGTATTAAGAGTGAAGCATGTCAATCTTCGCAACTCTTGTAAGGAGTAATTTCCTTTTGCGGTTGCAACTCAAATGTCCGATGCTCGCGGATAAGTTTTGTAAGGCGTAAGCTTGAGGCATGGATGGCTTCACGCTTTAAGTGGGACCTAAAGATTACTATTGTGCGGGGTCAAGCCTTTGTGTAATCTTGAACACGAAAATTAATTTCCTTGAAGTTTGCACGCAGCTGGGGTGCTGAGCTTCAGCTAGCCCAATATGAAACCGGTGAGCTGCAGTGGTGATGTAAGTAAGACAGCTTTCTCCCGCAAGACAAGCCACGGCTTGCACAACCGAGCCAGTGACTGGCCTGAAGGTGGGGCCTGATGCAACAAAGTGGCTTGCCGAGAGGGCCTTGGCTAGGCAACTCGCCATTCGCATTTCAAGATGCCTGCAACATTTTCTTCGCATTTCGCAATTCGCAGTTCGCATTTGAACAGTGACACAATGAAGAATTTGGATTTAGCAGGTGGACCACGGTATTTAAACACTGAGTTCTCAAACGGAAGTTAGCAGGGACTGTGCAGTTTCTTATATGCCAATTTGTTTATCTACACTTTCAGCTTGCATCAACTCCATCATGCCGCCAGGGCCGACAGCAATGGAGCTTGATATCGGAAACAACGAAAAATCAGATGCTATCCATGTCGACGAATTGATTCGAACTGGACTTGTTAGTAAATACATTAAAGTCCGGTCTTGCCACTTCCCATCTGTAAGTGTGTTCTCTGCAGAAACAAAACATCCTACAAAAGACAGTGAGTAGTGACTTTATCTGTGCCAGGGTCTCTCTCAGCGTATGGCTGAGATGACACTATATGCCTTTAGTTGGCCCGAAGACGTGAAAAGCGCTATGTCCAAGTACAACTCGCCTCATTTCTTAGGGTTCACAGCTCAAGGAGACGAAAAAACGAACAACGAGGTCGACCTTCGTGAGGTAAGTACGAACTGCATAGTGAGCGGAGAGGACTAATAGCAGTTCTAGGTGTTTGACTTTGCTACCGGGACACCTGGCAAGACGAAGTACATCCGTGGACCAACTGACCGAGATTATAACGTCTTGGTCGGTCAGAACCAAGTCAGATACCGACGCACACTTTTTCAATTGCTCTTCACACTAACGTTTTCTTCAGTGGCCCGACCCTAATGTCGTCGGAACAGATTTCCAAGACACTATCATGGAGTACATGAGTTGCATGCGCGATGTGTACCGCGGAGTGCTGACACTGCTTGAGTCTGCTTTGGGGCTTCCCAGAAACTCCCTTCTGGAACTGGACTCACCATCCACTCAGCACAGGCTGAAGCTTGTGAAGTACTTTCCAACACGAACATCTTACGGACCTACTGGGTCTCAAGGCGTTGGGGCACATCAAGATGAGACCGGATGGTTGACATTTGTCAATGAAGTCGACAAGCCAGGCCTGCAAGTACATATGCGCAACGGCACTGAGTGGCTCGAAGTTCCAATTGGGAAGAACGGCTGGGGTCTGAATGTCGGGTAAGATTATATTTTTATTTTTATTAGAGAAGTGATCAATATTGACCTCAATTAGAAAAGCTTTCGAGCGCGCTACATGTAGCCTCATCCACGCTACTTTACATCGAGTTCAGGTATGTATAACTATGTATATATTAATCGTCGCTGTTACTGATAACGTTTATTAGTCTCCACCCGCTAACTCGACACCTCGTCATTCCATTGTGTTCTTTGCTGGTCTGCCGCTTGAGCAAAGCTACACCTCCTTGCAGGCGATTTTCGCACAGTCAAAGATACTGATGGCTATGAAACATAGAGATGATAACCTGTCTAGCACCGAATATCTACAAGAACTGGGAAAACTTGTGGTAGGAGAAGGTGCTGACGATACCTTCGGTAGCTCTCAGCTGAGCATGTGGCAGAGGTATGCTCATTGACACCGCATCAAACAATCACAGTTTGCTGACTTAGGACATTAGATCGTATAATACGAAGCCAAGAGCTGCCAATGCGACGGGATAAGGACAGAGGGTATGTTTCAGTACGGAAGATGGCAAGGTGAGGCGCGGTTACTATAGCATGTTCTTTGCGGAGCGGCGTTAATTCAATTCTACTACGTTATATGGCTATTCCGACAGTATCACTGTGCCACCATTTCAGTGTAGTGCATATACAATCCACTCACGTAGTTTCAAAAGGCGTCTGTCGTGGTTGCCAAGCCAGCCTCTTACGCACACATTGTAAAGTTAGGCAGAAGTCCGAAGAGGCGTGGCTCTGGATCATTGGGCCTCGGTGGTATACGTTCAGGACAACGCGACGCCCAAATTTTACATGGCGCAGTTGCCTCGCTGATTCTGCAGGAGGCAAACAGCCTCCGTCTTACGTGTAAATACATATCTGCAGCAGGTGACTCCATATTAGACACCGGTCTTGCGAGCGAAGACGAAGGCCAGTAAGGCAAACAAGCCGGGAAAGGGGTACATGGGGCAACGAACCCACCATTTCGACATACATGATAGGTTGGCTAGCACTGCCGCCTTAGAGTACCCTAACCTTTTGTACCCAGATCATGACCCTTTTATTCGTCCTCTGTTGTCATATGTGCTGGCTGTGTGCCGGTGTTACAGATATCGATCACGGGATTGGGATTGGGATTGAAGTTGAAAACCTTAGGCAGTGCGGAGAGCGTGATGCAGTTTTGCCTAACTACTTCCTCGCCCGTCATGAATCCTAAAGCAGAGAGAGGGAGAGAGGATAGAAATGAGGTTAAGAAACAGAGAGAAGAGTCAATAGAGATATACAAGCTTTTTCGCGTACCCGCGTTATTATAAACCATCAGTGAAGATTCACCTACCTACATCAATGGAAATAACCCATACCCAGCCCCTCGCAACGCCTCTAAACCAGTGCGTACATGTATGTACCTATCAACGCAGCACCCTACAACCGCTCCTGCATGCCCGCAAAAAACCGCTTACTCTCGGCGCAGCGCTCGCTCGTGCACGCCGGACACCTCAAGCCCATCTGCTTACTACAAGCGAGGCCGCTCTCCAAATGCTCCTTTGCGATATCCGCGAGCGCGCGAATAAACACCTTGCTCCCATTCAGGCTCTCGACGCGGCGCACGTCGCCGCCCAGCTCCTCGGCCTCGGCAATGATCTCCTTGTCCAGCTCGAACAGCGTCTCGATGTGGTCCGATGTGAAAGCAATGGGCACGAGCACCAGCTCCTTCTGCCCCTTCTTGATGTAGTTGGCCACTGTGTCCGACGTCTGCGCGCCTAGCCATGCCGAGGGCCCGACTTGCGATTGCCACACCAGCCGGTACGGGTTGCGCATTCCCAGGCGCTGCATGACGGCGTACACGGTCGCGGCCACTTCGGCGGGGTAGGGGTCGCCTGCGATAAAACTGTCGTTAGCATGGATAGAGAAGATGGGAGGAAATAGCCGTAAACTTACCCCGGTTCACCACGCTCATGGGCAAGCTGTGCGCGCTGAACAGCAGCACGACCTTATCCCGTACCTCGGCGGGGTACTCCTTCAGAGTCGCCTCGATGTTGCGCGCAAACGCCTCGACCAGCCCCGGATGCACCGGCCAGCGATCAATGACGCTCCAAGTGATGCTGCCGTCCGCCTCAGCCACGCCGTTGTTGTTGTCCTCATCCGCGCGCTTGCCCTCCAGTCTGCTTCGCCACTTCCACAGCTCGTTCAGGCTCGAGCCCGTCGTGCTGCAGCTGTACTGCGGGTACTGGGTGAACGCAACCGCACGACCACCCCTCCCCTTGCCAAACCCGTCCTCGAACAGCCTCGCGTACATGTCCTCGGTCAGCGGGTTCGCGTACCGGAACGCCACGTACGGCTTGTGAGGCGCTGTCGCCGGCGATATCTCATCCAGGATCTTGCACATCTCGGCCGCCTGGTGCTCGCTCCACTTGCGGATCGGCGAGCCGCCGCCAATCTCGGCGTACTGCTTCTGGATCTTGGGGGTGCGGCGCACCGAGATGAAGCGCCCGAGGTAGTTTTGCATGCGCCCGAGGGGGATAAGGTCGCCGTCGGACTAGATGGGTGAAAGAAAGACATGTCAGCCAGGAAAGTCACAGCAGAGCGCGCGGCTTAGGGAGGGGAAGGAAGGGGGAGCTCTCGTACGAATAACCTGCTGAGGAAGTCGCCGACTTCGTCGGTCGTCGAGGGGCCGCCCATGTTCATGAAGACCATGGCCGTCGGGCCCTTGGAGCCCTTGGCGTCCTGCGTGACGGGCGGCACTGTGGCCATGCGTCGCCGCGCCGCGCCATGTTGCTGTAGGTGCTGGTGTTGGCGGAGGGTCGAGGTGGGCGTGGCGGCGAAGCGGGAGATCTGGACGGGCGATGCGCGCGTGCTGAGGCGCGCGACCGGAGTGCGGAGAGACATTGTTGTTATGGTAGAGGAAAAGAAGGGTGCGAGGTCAATTGGTATGAGCTCTCTCTCCCCTAATGCATGGTGGTGCGTTGGTGGGGAGCGGTGGTGTTAATATCGAGGAAACGTGTGCTGATTCATGCAAGCTCCCGCTCGATCGTCATCGCCGAGCACTTTCGCCGCCAATCGAGCCCCGCCACTCAGATGCATCGCATTAGTTAAGCCGACATCCGATCTATCTACCGTCTATAAACCCCAACCATCCAGCTCGCCCGAAGCACCGCCAGCCCCCAGGCCATGCCCAGACTGTCCCACACGACGTTCAGCTTGCTGCCCATGACCTCCTTCCACCCAACGGCCACCTCGGCCATGGGGATCGCCGCGCTCTCGGCCAGCATCAGCATCTCCACGTCGAAGATCCACCCCTCACTGTGCATGTACGGCACAATGTATGGCAGCGCCGCGCGCGAGAACAGCTTGAACCCGCACTGTGTGTCCTTGATGGCCGACGTCTTGGGCGGTGTCATGAGCCGCAGCAGCAGGTGGAACGAGTGCATGAGGAAGTTGCGGAGCATAGATCGCTAGTGGTCATGGTGTCGTTAGCATTCGAGCTCATTTTTTGTTGTTGACTTTTTGCATCACATCTCTCACCTTAACAACCGCCTCGCTGCCCACGAGGTGCGCCCGCGACCCAATGCCCACGCCGCGCCCAAACTCGTCCTCGACCAGCTGGCACCCCTCGACTAGCTTCTTCAGATCCGTGATTTCGCTCGCGCCGTCGGCGTCGGCGAAGACGACGTACTGGCCGCGGGCGTGGCGCATGCCGTGCGTGACGGCGCCGCCCTTGCCCCTATTCTGCTCCAGCCGGATGACCCTAATGCAGCCGTGCGGGATGTGTGTCGGTCCCGGCTTCGCCTTCCACGGGCCCGGCACCGGCGTAGGGTACTGCGAGAGCTGGTGATGCCGCGCAAACTCGAGGGCGTACTCCTCGGTCTTGTCGCTCGACCCGTCCGACACGATGAGTATCTCCCACCCCGAGCCCTTCCTAGTGACCTTGTCGCCCCGCGCCTCGCCGTTCAAGACGTGCTGCTCTTCGTTCAGCGACTTGGCCGTCACCGACGGCGACTGCGCCTCCACCTCCGCGCCGTGCGCATCGCCGTACTCGCGCTGCAGGAACTCGACGGCCTCCTCCAACATGCCTCCCAGCCGCTGCTCCTCGTTGTACGCCGGTACCACCACTGACATGAACACCTCGGCATCTTCAATCTCGTCCGGCTGCTGCTGCTGCGCGTGTGTCTTGTGGCCGTGGCTTTCGCGCCGCGCAAGCTCCTTGCGCGCTGCCCATTGGTCCAGCCAGCATGGGAGCTGCTTCGCGTCGCTCGTGGTGCCGTCGGGCAGGATGGTCCTGTAGGACTTTTCGGCGGGGAAGGGGGCGCGTGGCGTCGGCGCGACGAGGAGAAGGAGCGTGTAGACCTGCGGCGCGGGCGTCAGTCAGCAAAGGGGTGTTGTCGCGTGGGCGGAGAATAAGAGGTATTTACGGTAGCGGCGAGGAAGACGGCGAGCGTGAGCAGGGCGAGCAAAACGAGGGAGAGCGGAGCTTGCTGCACCAGCGAGATGCTCCGGTCGAGCAGGTCGCGAGCGGCGATCATGTTGGTGAGGGCGATGGCGCGGTGAGTCGAGGAATGCAATCAATTGTTTAAGACGCGTAGACAACAATCAAGTAGAGAGCGACAGGACAGGCGGAGCGAGAGTTGTCGCCCTCAAAGGCAGGACATGACCTGTGGAAGTGGAAACGGTGTCAAGAGGTCTGTCTGACGACGACAGGTTGCACTAGCCGCGCTTCCTGGGGTCCCTGCATGACGTTTCAACCGAACCGAAGCCCTTCGCTCAAAGAGCCTCCAACGTCGCCGAGTGAAGTTGTTGTGGGAGGGCATACATACGCATGCCTACCTACTATGCCCTCAATGCCTCTCACCTCTCGTGTCGTCCCGCCTCGTCCCTCAATCTTCCAGCCTTCTCCTCAACCCCGGCGGCGTAACTTGCCCTTGTCCGTGCCCTCTCAGACACACAGGTGCACTGCAATTACCTGCCGAGGAGTCTGTCTGAACGAGAGACAAAACGTCCACTCCCCCTCTCCAGCCCACCATGGTGTAGCAGAGTCGCACGCCCTGTCTTGAGGTGCTCCCCTCCCGACACCGGCGGCGGCCGCGGCCTTCACTCTGCTCCGCGGAGCCCAGCCGTCTCCGCTGGCGGATAGTCTCTGCGCCGTGACTCGTCGTTGGCATCTTCATCCCATTCGGCATGGCCGCTCCATACGCTCTCCGCGGAGCTCGAGGTACGTGACGCGTGGCTGAGTATCCACGCACCGCACCGCGCGGGAAAGGACAACTAACCTCAGTAACCGGACCGCCACAACAAGAAGAAAAAAAGTCATTCCTCCGTGGCAAGAAATTGCATCCACGCAACCTCTGCGCGGCGTGACATTGGCGTCGTGGGTGCGCAACGTAGGTCTGCGTGGCTGAGCAGCAACGCTCGCGGACTTTTGATCAGACCGGGATGCTCTCGCGCTAGGTTGCTATATGGGCGCTATTTATAGAAACAACATGGGCCTCGCGGTCCTATTTGCGGTTTGCCCTAGCTAATAGCTTGCTAGCACATAGTTATCTGCGAATAACGAGGTCTCGGGTTTTCGAGCCGCGATCAGCGTGCTCCGGGCTGCCTGTCTGTTGCCTGCTCGTTTACGATCACGACGGGCGTCTCTTCCGGACGATTCACGAAGCGTGGCAGCCTTCTTCTGCAGCACGGGTAGAGATGGCTACCTGGGCCTCTGCATTGCACAGTTGCACGCAAATTTCTATCACATTACCCAAAACAAGGCAACCACATCCACAACACAAACATACCCAAACACCCAGGCAACCACCACACCACACACCACACCACAACCATCCCCGTCGATCCCGAACGCATCTCAAGCCAGCTATTGCCCCCATCGGACTCTCACCGCAGCACACCCCGCCCCGCCCCAGCCCTAGGTATTGTATTAAACTTTCAGGCAACGGGCCTAGCGCACGCATGCACATCCACGCTGCTCGTCCTCTAGGCAGCAGCCAAATGCATGTGGGTCTTGGTCGAGCCTTGGGCCGTGGGCCGTTTGCCCTATCTGGGTACTGCGTTTGCCTTGCGGGTCTGCCTGTCTGCAATCTGCATGCCACGATCGTGGATCTAGGCCGCTAGCGGTTTTAGTATTTGCCTTGTTGCAACGAGGCTCCTTAGACGCGAGCAGGCGGAGGCAGAGGACGAGGCAACCGCGGTTGCTGCGCCGTTGGCGTGGGTCCCGCCCGTGTGCGTGTGGCGCGGGAGCCTAATGATCCTGACGCCGTTTTGGCTGGGATACGTGCCGAGCTGGCGAGCTGTCTGGCTGGCTCTCCACGTTGCCAATGGCATGGCATGGCATGATGGATGCTGCGCGCTGAAGGAGCGAGGGGTTGTTCGTGTCTGCCTGTGGCCGTGTCTGACGCTGTCAGCATTCCGTGCGTACGGTATGTGTGTTGCTGGGTATGTATGTGTGTATGTACATACATACACGCCATACCATACAGTACAAGCAACTTCCTGATCAAGCCCCCAACCCCATACGCACAATGCCATAGGCAGCTATAAATAACAAAATATCAGAAGTCCTATGCAGTAAGACACGACCTCTTCTGACATGCATGAATGCATGCTACATACGTGCGATACCCATGGGAAAGTGGTCTGACTGTGCCCCCGCGTTGCGGGGGAGCGTTGCGGGGATGGTGCCGGTGTGTGTGTTTATGTGTGTGTATGTGTGCGTGCACGTGAGGGGGGAGATTTCGTTTTGTGTGTGTCGAGTAGATTAGGCTCGTATGCGTGTGTTTCTTTTTTATGGCAAGGGAGGTGTGCAGGGGTTAGGTTGCTGAGACGGTGATGTGGATGTTGGTTTACGGAGTAGGCGAAAGGGATGGGGTTGTAGGGTGAGGGTTGTTGGTTTTTGTAGATGGTGTTAGTTTTTAGATGGATAGTTGGACGTGGTTGTATAAGGCTTTTAGTGGTAAAGTTTAGCGCTCAGCCTAGTAATTGTAGTCGTGAAGTTGTAGAGCTTTAAGGGCAGGTGGAGTCGGCCTGCTAGTATGAAGATTAATAGGAGGAAGGATTGGTTTTAGCTGCATGGTACTATTTTCCCCTTACTTGAAATACAATTCTGGTAGAAGTGGTCTTTATATATGCGCGCGGTGGATCTTGCACCGTTGCTATGAAATAATTTATCTCGCTTGCTATAAAGCTGTATGTTTAATCACCTCTGTAATTCGTAGTCAGGATAATATCAATCGTGTTGACTTGCAATGCCCCAGAGATTGCTGCACGCGTCTGGTTCGCCGGGTAGCGACCGCGCGATCGTGGACGGACCGGTCAACGCCGACGGCTCACTCTCTCTTTCTCTACACACGACATTCGATTTCACAACAATGCCCCTTAACGCAAGACTGTCATTCTCAGCGACTTAGAGCCTACTCATGAGATAGATGGTTGTCAAAAAGGCAGGATGAGAAAGTGGTGGTCGACGCGTGACCTGTACCAATGGTTGTCGCGATCGATGTAAGAGCTGTGACCGGAACACATGCGCCTATCCCTCCGACGCGAAAACAAGTAATAATGTAAGAGCTGGATTTGAGATTGCTGCACTATGTACGTCCCGCAGCGATGACGTCGAAAGCCGATGTTTTGGCACGCGTCGTCGCGTGGAGGTGCTTGGTAGTCGCGTCGCAGTCTTCTTACAAACAACAAGACACCTCTCAACACAAAAGGTTTGCCGTTTCGCACCAGTCAAGTATCTCTCCGATCCTGTAAAACTGTGATCAGACCTGGTGCCTTCATCCAAAGCTCCCTCGGCAACGCACACAGCCAACCCCGCATCCCCGCATCCCCGCCTTCTGCCAACCCGGCAACTTCACACGTACCACTCTTCTCGGATTCCAAGAAATTATTCCCGCCCTGCTGCAGCGCGCGGCCGTGGCATTGGCCAATTGACTTTCCAGATGGCTCGGGACGGGTATCACAACACTGCTTTGCGGAAAAAGAGTCTTCGTCGTGCTTGGCCGGGATCAATGCGGGCAAGGCGCCGCGCCGTTTGTCTGTCTGCTGCATGCACAATGACGGCACGCGCCAAGAGGGTGAAAGCTCTGCAAGAGTATATGTATTGCGGGGAGCAGGCACGCGTGGACCATGAGTGAGCGAGCAAAGCAGACCAACCCATCTGTCGCCGGCATCATGATATCCCAGACACTCTTCCTCATTCTCTCCTTCCTTCTGGCATGCAGCGACATCACCCAGCGCGCAGCAGCAGCCACAATCCGCACGCCGACCCCGCTCATGGGCTGGAACTCGTACAACCACTACGGCTGCTACCCCAACGAGACGCTCATCAAAGCCAACGCCGCCGGGCTGCTGGCGCACGGCCTCGCGGATCTGGGCTACAACACCGTCACCGTCGACTGCGGCTGGCCGGCCAAGGAGCGTACGCCCGCCGGCCGTCTGACCTGGAACGCGACGCTCTTTCCGTCGGGGTTCCCGGCGCTGGGCGACTGGCTGCATGAGCGCGGCTTGAAGTTTGGACTGTATTCTGGCGGTGGGAAATGGGAGTGCGATAATGTGGACGGGGAGGCCAAGTTGCCGGCGTCATTGGGTAGGTTGTGTTTGATAAAGGCTTTCATTGTTGTTATATGTGTGCTGATTCGGTGTAGGGAAGGAAAGGGAAGACGCGCGCAGTTTTGCTGATTGGGGTGGGGACACGCTCAAGTATGACAACTGCTGGGCGAATGTGTCTGAAGATGAGTTTCCCATTTCCTTCTTCTTCTCTTTCACTTGCGCTCAACAATCAGTTATCCAGTTCAATTGGACCAAGCTAACACCCTCACCACGCATTTCCAACTACCACCCCAGCGAACGCGATCCCTCCACGCGTTTCAGAGCCATGGCCGACGCCCTCAACGCCCAAAACCGCAGCATCGTGTACCAGATCTGCCAATGGGGTGTAGGCAATGACCTGGGGCGCTGGGCGGCGCAGATTGGCGATTCCTGGCGCATCTCCAACGACATCGTGAATAACTGGCAGAGCATATGGCGCATCGCGAACCAGGTGGTGCCGTTCTGGCGGCACACAGGCGTGGGCCGGTACGCAGACATGGACATGCTGATGTACGTTTCATATTTTCTTCTTTGTTTCCTACACACATAGTCATGACTGCTACTAATACCCCCCTCCCAGCGTCGGACTGAAAGCCCTCACCCCCGCCCAAGAGCGCACGCACTTCACCCTCTGGTCCCTCGCCAAATCGCCACTGGTTCTCGGCCTACCACTCACATCCACAGAGCCTCCGCCCGCCTCCTCCCTCGCCATCCTCTCCAACCGCGCCGTCCTAGCCATCAACCAAGACGCGCTCGGGCAGCAAGCGCGCCTCGCCCGCCGCTACGACGCCGACTCCCCCGCCGGCGGGTACGACGTGTGGGCCGGGGAGCTAACGGAAGGGAGAACGGTCGCCGCGGTCGTGAACTGGCGCAATGCGTCCAGGGACGTGGTGCTTGACCTCAGCGCGCTGGGGCTGCACAAAGCAGATGCCGCGTACGACGTCTGGGCCGACGAGGAAGTCGGGCCCCTGGACGCGCGCGCGCAGTTCCGCCTCGACGCCCACGACGTCAAGCTGCTCGTCCTCGGCGGCTTGACGCCTGCACAGCAGAACCTCACGCAGAAGGCGTACTACGCCGCCACCTCAGCGTCCCTGACCAGAGGCGCGCGCGCTGTCAGCTGCGCCCCTGGAGCGTGCCTGCCCGCGGGGTCTAAAGTCACTGACCTCGCTCCTGGCGCGGACGTCACGTTCGAGAACGTCGCTGGCGGCCAGCAGCTCGTACTCGACTACGTGAACTACGACGTCGCGCTCGAGAGCGCGTGGACGGACGGGACGAACACGCGGAACGTGACTGTGAGCGTTAATGGCGGCGAGGCCCGGCGTTGGGAAGTCCCTATCAGTGGGGGCAACTGGGAGGAGGCGGCACGGATGGTGCTGGATGTGCCTGACGGTGGGAGTGGGGGGTGGGGCCTGAAGGCAGAGGGCGGGAACGTCGTCACTGTGGGCGTGGACGAGGGGATGGGCACCGCGGTCGAGATAGTGGGCGTTGGTGTGCTGGGTGGGGATGCGCGCGCTGTTTCTCTCGACTCTCTTTTGTTACAGCCATGAACATGCTTGTACATACACAGACAGCCATCTATCCCCCTTCTCCCTCCTTCCACGACTAAGTTTACACTCGCCCCATCCCTCTTCCCCGTCCCCGTCCTCCACACCACCGGAACAGAAACACGACCCCGACGATCAGCATCAGGCACAGGAGGGCGGACGCGACGTTGAGGAGCGTGATTTGCGCTTCGGAAGAGAGGGCATGGCGTCGGTGGTTATTGTTGTGGTTGTTGTTGATGTGCTCGAGGTTAAGGTTGGTGCCTGCGGCGGCGGTGAGGCTGGGTGGGAAGGCTTGGACGTGGAGTTGTGCTTGTGGTTGAAGTTGTGGTTGTAGCGGTAGTGGTGGCATCTTTGCGCGTGTATGCGTGCGTGCGTGCTTATACGTGTGGTAGTGGTATGGAGTGAATAGTTCAACGAGCTAGATTGCAGCAAACTCGACGCAGTGGTAGTAATTAGAGGGTATGTAGACTCAAACGCAGAAGAGACGCAGACGCAGAAGCATCCTCAAGAAACAAACAGCCCAACCAAGATAGCCAAGGCCCAGGCTGCACCCAAACAAATCTTCACGCAAAAACACCATCGCACAACCACGACCAAGAAAGGGGCCTTTGATACATGATACATGCTACGGCTTGGCAGTTGGCGCGCCCAGCCAGTGTCTGCGCTCCTTGCCTTTGCGGAACCGCGTGGCTTGGCTTGGCTGCTTGGCTGCTTGGCTTTTCTGCGTGCAGATTACTGAAGATTGGGGATATGAGACGTGTGTTGGTTGCAGTCTGTGGAAGAGGCGAGGAAGGAAGGGTATGACAATGAATGGATGGATGGATGGATGAAGAAATGTGCGTGATAGAGAAATATATCGCTGTCCGCATCAACATCAACACCAACATTAATAACCAGAATAAGAAACAACAACAATAACAATAAGACGAGACGCTTTCATTCTTCTTTAACATGTTTTTGCATTGCATATTATCAGTTTAACTACCTATCACCGCTTTCATCCATCCTTCTCTTTAACATATGTTAGTTAGTTGCACACCCTCCCCTCCCCTACCCACACCCAACAGGCGCCAACCGCGCCCACCACAATCGTTATCCAACCACCTCAGCCCCGCCCCCGCCAGGGCTATTCCTACCACCACCACCACCAGCGGGACTATCACCAACACTCCCCCTCCGCTTCCGCGCCGCTTCAACCACCCTCCCCACAATCGACGCCGCCACGGCCGCCACGCCCCCCGCCGCAGCCCGCAGCCGCGTCCCCCGGTCCTCCGTCACCAGCACCGCCGACCGCACGCCCTGCGCACTAGCGGCGGCCTGGTCCGCGGCGTGCAGCGCGCGCAGGCTGAGCTCGCTCTGCTGCCGCGTCAGCCCGATCAGGATGCTGATCTCGCGGTGCGGGTTCGGGAGTGGCTTTGCTGGAGCGGTGGCGGTGGCGAGAGTCGGCGGTGCCGGGTGGCGCTGCAGTGCGGCGGTGGCGGAAGCTGTCACGTCTGCGCCTGTGGCGTTGAGGATGCGCAGGCTGGGGTGGCCCGTGGGCGCCGAAGAGAGTATGCGCAGGGTTTGCACTGCGGCAGGAGCGTCGGGAGACGCGGCGTCTGTTTGCACGTCTTTGAGTTCGGCGATTGCTGCGGGGGCGTCAGTATTCCATGTCACTTATCTGGCTTTGAGAGAGGCCGACAGACCTGTGTCAGGGACGACCACGTTCCATTGGCCGTCCTTCAGCAACGCCGCAAACGTCGACGGTTGCTTGAGCAGAAAGTTTGCGTCGCACACCACTACCTGCAACCACGACTGTTTAACGAGGCGAAGTGAGGTGTGGGATTGGAGCACTGACTGTGATATCTGGTCGAAACATGTGAGATGCCGCCTGCGTCGGGGACGCCGCGCCGCCCGCCGTGAGCTGCTTCATCTCCGGCGAGTCGTCGTATTCGGTGGCGGGTGTTTCGGCCATGGGCATGTCTGCAAAGTCCTCGCGCTCCACAATGTCCATCTCGTCGTCGCTCTCATCTGCCTCGTCTGCTTGGACGATGCTTGCGCTCCACGTCTGCGTCTCCCGGTCATAATGAAGCCCACGGTTGCACTAAATCCGTCAGCTTCCACAAGATTCAACAACTAAATCTCCGCTCACCTCTGCGAGACGAACGCCGAGCCACAGCACGCGTTCGGTCCTGGATTGGATGGTCGAGGCAACCTCGAGCATCCGCTCCTCCTCGTCGTGCCCCCGCTCGAACCAGTTGGCGGGGAAATAAGCGTGAGCCCACAGCTGGCCTCTGATGAGATAGTCCTCGGGCAGCGGCCGGCTATCCTCTTGCCCCTCGTGCAGAAACCCGGCAGATGCAGATTCAATCTGAGTGCCCGACTCTGTCTTGGCTAACGTATTGAGAAAGAAACTCAACTCCTCCCATGCGACGTATTGGAAAATGGAAGACGTATCCTGCGGAAGAGTCGAAAGTTGTACAAGGAAAGCAAGGAGGATATGGAAATGGGTGAGTACGTTTTTATCGCCGAAACGCCGAAGAACAATGTGTAGGGTATCGAATGTTAGTTGGCAGGCCAGGGCGAGGGTGGATGAAGTCAAGCTAATAGACATGTCATCCGGGGCCTGCATTAAGTTTGGCAAGACGGGTTGAACCGGTGCCTCACCCTCACCGTCCCTTGCCTCGAGTTTGGTCTTAATTTGCAGCTGCGTCCCAAACGCGCGACGCAGCAGATTACTTTCGCTGCCGTAATCAAACAAGCTAGCGATGTTCGCAATAGCCATGTAAGCACCCTGCTCTTTCCATTTCAAGGTGACGCGTCCAATGGAGCTGTCCAGTTGTTGCGTGAAATCTGCGAGGTTGCTGTCGAACACTGCCTTGTCGTTCTTCTCGAAGAGAATTCCATGGCAGCGTATAAAACTAGTTTCTACAGGCGCGGAATGTGAGTAGGACGTGTTCGTACGTCCGAGAATAGGGTCGAACAAGGTAAGAATGGACTCGCGCGCGCTCATAAAAGGCTGCACGCAAGCCAGAGAACGGGAATAATAATACAGCTGCTGAAGAGCATTAGGCCGCGCGAGAATCGCGAGATGATGGTACAGACGGCCCACAGAAGGACTCTTGTCAGCAGCTTTGCTATACCAGAAACGAGCGACGCCTGCCCAGGTTTCGCGATCCCGGAGATCTTCGTCTTCTATAGCCATGCGATACCTGCCGAGGTCTCCAAGACATTCAATCCAGGTGTCCTCAAAGGCAGGCACGGTCTCGTATAAGAGACTCATCATCTGATAAGCCAAATAGATAAATGCAAGCATATAATCCAAAGACTCGGGCAGGCGGTGGCGCAGCAGTTCCAAAAATGAGTGGATTCCGTGCTTCCACATGCGGGCCGGCATGGAATACTTTGCAGCCAGACGACGAAGTGCGGGGCTTCCAGAGGGATGCTGAGAGGCTAGGAAAAAGTCATGGTGCTCGTGCAAGAGGGTCCGGTGCAGCGCAATGAGGGCCTGCCAATGATCGTTGGCCAATCGTGGGTATTGACCTGTCACGGGATCTCGTTCCGCGGCGGCTTGGGCTTTATCGACATGGATGCACTTGGATTCGACCATGGTAAGGCCGGCATAGATACTCTTGACCTCGGCAGCCAGCTGCTCCTGGGAAATCGGCCGAGAGTCGGGTTGCAAGACGAGATCGGGCCAGCGGGCATCCGAGGGCAGCTGCAGAAACCCCGGTTGCTGCTGGGTCGTCGTCTGAGACGAAGCTGGCACAGGGAGGCCTGAAGTTGGCGGTGAGTTGTGCGGCGTCTTACGCTGGGAAGAGGGCAGCTGAGGCTGGCGTTCCGGCATGGCCGATGGCGGCTGTGCATGTGGCGAAGGGCTGTTCAGCTGAGGGTCGCACGACGGCTTATGGCTCGTGTGGTAGGGCAGTTGCCTTGAGGAAGCCTCCGGGCCCATACCTCGGGCGCGACGCGTGTTGGCATGTTGGCGCACCGGTGAGCGGCTGGGCGGCTCATCCTCTCCCGCGCGTTTCCTCGACGGGCGCTGGAGGCCTGGCGGCTCACCCTTGCGCGTAGGCGATCGCTTCTTTTCAATGTGCAACGGGTTGATGTCCGGTATCGAGCTTCCGGCGATGATGGGTTCTGGGAGTTGCGGCCTGGGTTTCACCAGACGGCTGGTCTGGCTGTTGTCGGGAAGGAGTCAGCAAGCACGGATGGGGATGCGGGGAGCATCTTGGGGAACGCACGCCTTCCGCAGAGCCTCGTCGAGTAGCAATTTCCGGAATAGGACAGGGCTGGCTCGGAGGCCCGATTCGTCGATTCTTTGTTGGTGTTCGGCGTGGACGTGTTGGAAGAGTGGGGAGTCGGAGTCGAAGGGCCGCCGCTCGCAGTAGGGACAAGCGAAGCGAGGCGCAGCGGCGGCGGCCTTGGGCGGAGCAGGTCTCAACGCTTCCAGCGTGTGGTGATAGTCAAGGTCGTCGTTCATGTTTGTGGGTATAGTATTCGATTCCCTAGCTGCCGAGTTGCAAGAGCCTCAATCGCCGTAAATCGCAAGGGGTCATGCAGATCGGTGTGGGGTTTTCGGGGGGGAGGCGGGAAGGCTTTGAACTTTGAACCCAAGGGTCGCGCGTGACGTAGCGAGGGAGAGGCGCGCGGTGCCGGCAGAGTGGGAAAGCAAAGGACCCAAGAAGTTATATCGCTCGACGAGGGTGGACAAGGCAACCGGTTCGCATTATTGCTGCCTGTCCCGTCAGCCGCATTACTGCCGTCGTGCGGTCCGCCCACCTCTCGCCCCCACAGAGGTGTCTTGCTTACGCCTCGGTGTTCATTGTGATTGATTACTCAAACTACATCTCACCGGTCACATATTTACAGGTTTAAAATAATGCGCCATGCCTTTCTCCTCAAACGCCGCCTCCTATTTTTTCCTGCCCCTCCACGAATAGTTGATTGCTGCATTTCGAGGCTGCGCATCCCGTCCTATCTCTCGGCCGCGCAATGTTTTTCGCCTCATTGTCGTCGTTTCCCGTCCGGTGAGCATTGCGGCAATAGTCAGCAAGCTGCGTCTGCCGTTGACGACTCCTCGACTGCAATCGTCATCTTCTCCGGGCGGAGCATATCATGAGGATGTGCTGCCTGGAAGAGGCTTTCTTATGTACCGAGAATGCTGATGTTTGGTCAGACGATGGCTGATCCGACGGGAATTGTGGCCGAACCAAACGGGGATGCTTTGCGAGTGGCAGCGAAAAAACATGCTCATGAGGGTAAGACTGGAAAGTTTCTTCTGCGTATTCAACAAAGTATCGTTCTTGTTCATCGAATGCGAATTCATTGATGTCCCGTCTCGTATTTTGAAAATATCGTGTCTTACATTTCCCTAGACGTCACGATGATGCCCCCTATAATAATCAAGCAAACTATAATTAGCCATTTTTGAGTTTTCCATCTCGAGATCCTCAACACCACAATATCAAATCTCGTCCGTCCACTCTACTCTTGATTAAACAGCCTTGCCATTCGCCCCCGACTCAGAGCGTCGCCAAAGCATCCACCACCCCCACACCCGAGCACATCCGCCCCTCCTCCGAGAAATCTCGGACGCAGCTCCGTCCACCGCGGTTCCTCCAACACATCATCAACGTCGACATCCGCTGTCAATCGGGCCATCGGCCCCCAACCCCACACGGATCGAACAGCAACCCCCCCGATCCTCTTCCCACAGCGGGCGTTGCATTTGCCCAAACCGGCTGCTCTCCTTCCCTCCTTCCCCCTCTATTCCTTCCGTACATTCCCATTCCCACAACAGTCTCACGCGGCGCCCCCACATCCTCCATGTCCCGCCCCGCTCGGCAACGGACAAGGCAACCAGAAAAAGCAAACAAGCAACTTCCAGCTAGCCATTCAGGAACGGGACGGCACGGCACGGCGCAGGCGCAAGGACGTAGGTGTGTATGTATGTATGAAGCAGGGACCATAGTACCGGCCGACGACGTTCGTGCATACTCACGCGCGAGGCTGCAGCGGGCAACGGGCGCGGGTAGCAATGTCGCAAACGCGCGCGCACACACACGGTAAGGGATGGAAGAGAATTTGCTTCAATCAATCAAATCAACAGAGAACCCGCCACGGCAACCGTCCATCCTTGCTTTCTACACCGCGACTTTGCGCCCCCCGTCTGCCTGCCTGCCGGGCTACCTGAAGCCCAGAGCCTGACGCGATGATCAGAAGACTATCACCCACTCGCTCAGTTTGCCTGCAATACAGCCTCGCGCAGTAGTGTTATCAATCTCGGTCGGATTGGACACCCGCAAGCCGAAGGAGAGGTCTGTAGCTGGCCATGCATGAAACAAAGTGCGAGACGAGACGAAACGCCGAGGGTGCAGATTCATGCACACGCAATAACGTTTGCCTGTCTATATGTGATGTGTATGGCTGAATGTAGGCGCGCACGCGCGCGAGTCTTCACGCCGACCTTATATACGACTGGATGGGGAGTGTGTGTGTGCCCAAGAGCAATGTAATGTGACGTGTGCGAGTGAACAAGGCGAATACATATCGGATAGTCGTCTACCTAAGGCTGGCGCTAAGAGCCATCCAATAGAACGATCGCATAGTGCTGAAAGTGCGGGCATCTCTACTATTTGCCTATTCAGCGTACGGCGTAGTTTCCACGCCTACCTAACCGCAGCCTAACGACCCATCCATTCCGAAACCACAGCACACCCAAAATCAAACAAGGCATCCGCATCACGCACACACACCCCCTCTCACACGCCAGGCAAGCAGCACCTTCCCGCCCTTCTCGCGCTACCACCACCACCACCACCACCGGCACAAAGCGGAACAGCGCATCCACCTTCCCGACCGCCCAACGCAGCACAACGCAGCCCTACCACCTATCTAAGCGCACGAATCAGCCCATCCTCCAGCATCCGGTTGCTGGCCTTACGCCTAAGCCACCCATGCATGAGGTTGGAAGCATGCCACCGTCACGCGTGCTCTGCAGCAGGCAAGTAGACTTACTTACATCCAGACGTACATGCACATATATGCAGGCAAGGAACCATGCGCATTACATTAGCATACGACCTGTAGACGGACGGGCGGGACGAAACGAACAAGTGTGGATGCGTCTTGGTTGCCTACTTGTGCGCCTGCCTACCCAGCAACGCGGGCGCGGGTCGCTAGCTTGCGTGTGTGGGTTTAGTTAGGGGCAAGCCTATGTATAGCGTGCAGCGAGTAATTAAACGAATTAAAATCCGCCAGGGCCAAGGCCTCAGACAAATAAGTCAGATAATGGCGTGGGTAAACATTTACGCCATGGCAGCGGCAAGGCAGTAGGTAGGCAACGCAAGGCAACAAGGCGCCTGTCCAGACGACAGACCTAGCAACCGCCTACCTACCTACGCCGCCGCCGCCGCCGCCGCCAACACCACCAACCACGACGACAATTCCAACCTACGTACGCATGCATCCAATGCGGCACGCAAATCCGAAACGAAAAACCCCCTCCCTCCCCTTGCGCAAAATAAAAGCGAAAAGTAAAAAAACCGCACGAATCATTAAAAAACAAGTGGACCTGGCGGTTGCCTCGCCCCGTTGCCTCGTTGCCTGACCGGTGCGTGGTGCCTGAAAACTGCTCCGAACCGAACCTGAACCTGAACCTGAACCCAGCCAGCCATGAGCCAGTCAGTCAGCCAGCCAGCCAGCCAGGCATGCACGTCTGCGATGTCGGGCACCAAGAAGGCGGCGATCCGCTTGCTTTGCTTGCTTTGCTTGCTTGCTTGCTTGCTTACAGTATCCCTTGGTGTGAGTAATTAGGTGGTTGAGTAGTTACTACTGCGTATGAAGTATGTACTCTACATCGTACGGAACAAGAATGCCTACCTACATACGGCTTCGTTAGTCGCCGACGCCGACTGCGAGTCGTCAGGTCGTCAGGTCGTTCGTACCGTACCGTGCCGTGCCGTACTGTGCCGCACTAGGGAATAGGAGGCTGGGTCCAGTTTATTCAACTGATATTGCGGAGGCATTGGGGTGTTTTCCTTGCCTTGCCTACCCACTCCTACGACGCTACTGCTGTTGTTGTTATTGTTATTTGTTTATCATATCACACTGGTCGCGACTTTGCGCACCACCGTGCCGTGCCGTGCCGCATTCATCCCCGCCTAGGTATGCGCCGCAGCCACACACGTACCTACGTACCTACCGATGCGACGTGACGCGATCGGCCAAGCGAGCATAGGTATTGTACGATATGATACGCTCTTACCTGGGCAAGGCTGTCAACGCCGGCTCCAGCAAAGAAGCAATCCTCGCGCTCGCGCAAGGGCACAAACCCCGTCCCTACCTACAACCCAAGTCGGCGAGATAGCCAAGCCGACCCATCCACCCTACCTACATACCTAGCAGACCCCAGACCGACCCGTCCGTCCCGCGCGTCAGCCCCCGCGCGTAGATCCGGCTCCGGGGCCGGAAGCAGAAGCGGAGAAAGAAGGACGGAGGGACGGAAAAGGAAGGAAAGAAATAAAGCGCGCGCGTCAACGCGGGCGAGCTTTGGTACCTAGTTCGTACAACACGCCTAGGTAGTAAACAACGGAGCGATCGGATCATTGGGGGCTGCCCGCCTACCTACCGAAGCAGGAAGGCAGGCGTGATCGGCAGGCAGGCAGGCAAACCCGAAGGCAAATCCGGACGGCGCGAAGAAGAAAAAAGAGGCAAGCGATGGCAATGGCAATGGCGAATAAACCCTCTGCCTGCTTGCTGTCTCCCTTGCGCCGTTACGTGCTTAACGCGCACGCGAGCCGAGGCGCCTGCGAGGAGGGGGCCGAAAGGGAAGGGAAGGGAAGGGGACGAGGGGAAAGGAAAACGTACACACACGTCCGCAACTGTGACAACACGAGCTACGCGCGCGCCTGGCTGCGTCCCTGTCTGGCTGGGTGCGTGCCTTACTTACGACTTACGTCGCGCCTACAATCTGCCTCGTCCGCACCCACGACATCAAGGTCAAGACCAGGCAAGACCAAGACCATCGCGGCCAGCCCTGCCGTCCTACACCTACGTAGGTAGCGGGTCGGCACGCCCGCCCGCACGCCAGCCAGCCAGCCAGCCAGCCAGCCAGCCGTTTCCGCCCCCGAGTATGTAAGCACGCAAGCAAGCAAGCTTCTTCGACTTCCCCAACAAGCAAATGCCCAGCCCGCGCACAGTCCACCTAGCGGGCTGCAGGATCAATAGAGTGTGTGTAGTGTAGGCTCGCTCGCGCGCGCGTGCGTGTGCTGCGCTGTGCTGTAGGTATTGTACAAGAGCGGGCGAGCGGGTCGGGGGCGAAGACGCTGCGCTGGCCGTCGCTGCGCTCAGCTAGCTACCATATTCCGGACCCGCGTCGGAGTCCGGACACAAATGCCACAACCCACATGGTGGACACGTAGACACGTGGGCAGTGCGTAGGGCGTAAGGCGTAAGGCGTAAGGCCGTAGGGCTGGCTGGCTGCGCAGTGGGCCACTGGGCCTTATTATAGACGGGATCGTCGCTGTCAGGATCGCGTGTTGCTGATGAGTGCTGAGTGCTGGCGCTGGCGGCTGGCGCGTTGCGCGCGTGTTTTTGTCGGAAAAAGACACTCGGGCGGGCACAGCCACAGGGCTGAGCCGAGGGCGACGGCGGTGACGGGCCGTGGCTTTGGCTGTGGTGCGCTGGCGGCGGATGCAGGCTGGATGGATGGATGGATGGATGGATGGATTGGTGGTGGTGTTGAGCTGGCAGAGGCTTTGGCTTTGGGCTGCATCGATCGCTGTCTGCGTGAACCTAGTCGCTCAGCACGCCGTGGTAGGAATAGCTGCAAGCCGCACCTCTGTCCTCGGTATGTAAATGCCCGACTGACAAAGAGTACTGTACCCCGCATCTCGGCGGTCCGCACGAACCGCGACCGCGACAACGCGGCTCTGCGGCCTGCCCTCGTGGGCCTTTTGCCTTGGCTTGCCTTTCTGAGCGCTCATTTTTTCCGTTCCCCTCGTGCTGATGTCTTTGTCTTTGCGTTGCGTTTCACCACTCGGGCTGAGTGTGTCTCATGTGTGTGTAGCAAGCGGAAAGGGTGGCCGGGCTTGGGGGTTCGCGTGGTCCCGCGCTGGCTGGAGGACCGAGGTGGTGTGTACAGTAGGTTGTGAAGTGTACTGTATGTCTGTGTCTGCGACTGCGACTGCACTCCCTCGGAGAAGCATCCGCGTGACGTCCTCCCTGCCTCCCATATGTATGTACACACGAAACTCAGAGACGTAGTCACTCCATACGTACATACCGACCGCAACCATGCCCGCCTGTAACGCAACCCCGCTCTCCCCTTCCCGCAACACCAAACCCACGCCGATGCCGACCCGACCCAGGAGAGAAAGAGAAAAAGAGAACGAAAGCAAAGAAAAGAAAAAGAAACCAAACAAACCAACCCACCTCCACGCCACCTCCACCTGACACTGACTGCAGTGCCCCTCCATCGCCCATAACCGCGTCGCACAGCGTGCATCCAATCCGCTCCCATCCCCGCCATCCATCACCACTGCCAGTCACGGCAGCAGTCACACCACCACCACCTCACTCACACATCCAATCACTGACATCCTGAACAACAGCATTCCCCGTCCAGCCAACCGCCTTCCCGGTCGCGGGCGTCATTGCGCGCCCGTCAATCAATCCGACGCACGCAGCACCCGGCGACGAACTCACTCCCCTACCCTCTCTGCCTGCCGCGACGTGACAACCAAGCGAGCAAGCGAGCAAGCGACCGCGCAACCAAAACCGAACTGAACCAAAACTACTGAATCCGCAAGCCCAGTCGTCCAAACAACCTCCCGTCGCACTGGTGCGGATTAGCGCCCGCGCACTACCTACGTATCTACCCGTCCCGTCGCTGCCGCACCATCGGGCCTGTAGCGTAGGTAGGTAGGTAGTCAGATGAAGATCAGGCCAGGCCAACCGGCAGGCAGGGATGGGTGGGATTGCCCCCCTTGCTACCTTACTGTACGTACATGACCGGCTAGCCGTCCATGCCGCGCCGCGTCGCCTCCTGCCTATCTGGGCAGGTATGTACCGGGACGGCAGCAGAAGACTGAAGGAGAAGGAGAAGCAGGGACATGGAACGGCAGTGGCAGTGTGCGAGTGTGCCGGTACTGTACTGTACTGCACCACGCCCTCTGCCAGACCTCGACCTAGGGCCTCGAGTACGTACGGCGTAAAGCACACATCAGCACCAGCACCAGCATCGCACGCCACGCCGCAAGCTCTCATTCCTCATTCCTCACTCACCAACCCAGCCAATCACCCCCCTCCCGTCCCGTCTCAGCAGCGTCAGACAAGAGGGCCCCGTGCGTTGCGTTGCGTGCGGGGAAGCCTGCAAAACGCGGGGAAGGGTCAGGCTGCGGCACGCGGGCGGTTCCTAAAATGGCAAGCTGGGCACTACCTGGCTCCCTCGTCGTCGTCGTCGTCGTCGTCGTCCGTTGGTTGGCGCGTTCTCGTTCGATGCGGTCGGTCGGTTGGTTGGTTGGTGAGGTCGCTGAGGTCGTGCTGCCCTGGCCTGTAGTTAGCCAGTCGTCTTCTCGTGCGCGCCAACAGGGAGGGAAGGCCGTGATGGTGTACCTCTTCTGCGTCCTACTGGCTGAGCCAGCGTCTCCCGCCCTGCTGGCCTGCGTCGTGGTGGTGCGGGAGTCGCGTCATGGCCTGCCCCCAGCCTGCCGTGACTGCTAGGTGGTGACGCTGGCCTCGCTCAGAGCCATATAAGGGGCGCGAGTGTCGTACACCCCCTCTCGTCGTTCCCCTCTTCCGTCGTCTCTGTCGTGCTCGCTGTCTTTTTGTTCCTGCTGCTGCTGCTGCAGGTTAGCATACTCTCCACTCCACTCCATCTACCTCCTCTTTTGCTTGATATTGCCTGCCTGCTGCGACGAGCGCAACTGGACACTTTCACACGCATACACACATACACGTACGCCTGCCTGTCTGCGCCCGTCCGCCGCTCGTCGTCATCGACTACTTCACCCCACCTCACCTACCTTACCCACCTCATCGCCGATCCGGACTCGGTCGCCTCGTCGGTCGTCGTCCCTGCTGCTTGCTGTGCTTCCTCCGTCAGCGTCAGCACTGCTCCAAGGAGCCAGGACCAGGACCAAGCAAGCGGCACACCAACACCTGCCCGCCTACCTACCTAAGGATCCACACCCACACCATCCACACACAACAACCCAACACCACAACCCACCACAAAATGCCCGCCCTCAAGACCCTAACCCTCTCCTCGGAGCTCGTAGCCCTAACGCTCAACCTCTCCGCCATGAGCGTCGCCGCCTACCTCCCGCTCCGCTACTTTGGCCCCCGCGTCTTCCCCCGCCGCGCCGCGCGCAGGGGCGTCGTGCCCGCGCCCGCGGGCAGTACCGCGTCGTCGGCGCATGTGGCGCTGCCTGGCGCTGCGGTGGCGGGGGCGGCGGGCGCGGGCGCGGCGGCGGGCATGCTCGGGAATGGTCACGGTGGGCATGGGCATGGGTGGAGCGGGAGCGTGGTTAAGTTGTTGAGGTTTGCGCGGAGGGGTGGGGGTGGGGGCGGGAGCTGGTAGTTTGGGGTTTGGGTTTGGGTTGTTTGTTTGTTTGTTGGGTGGAGTGGAGTGGTGTTGAGTTGAGATGGGATGAGATGCTGAGATGAGATGAGAAGAGAAGATGAGAAAGAAGGAAAGAAGGAAAGACGACACCGCGCACACGCGCTTGCATGTCCAACTCCAACTGCATTCTATTCCGTTTCGTCCCCTCTCTTTGTCCGCTCTTCTCTTCAGTCTTCTCATCTACACACCCATCCTCTACCTCACCTACCCCCACGCTCTTACACATCTGTTCGCTCACGACATCTTTCTCTTTCCTATGTTAGTTCATATTAGCTCACTTGATTTCTTGCTTCCTCCCTCGTTCCGTTCATTTCCTAGCCGTTGTTGCGTCGCTCTATACCAACCAGGCTCTGTATGCCAAAGTAGCATACAGCATTACCTATACCTGCCGAATAAACAATCAATTTATACAAGACCAATCCAATCAGTACGGAGCAAGTGATTCGTGCGCCGTATGCCGGCGTGGGGGGTTGCTTAATCCTTCTTTTCTGCCGGGGTGGAGTGTTTCCCTAGTTGGCTGGGGTGATGAAGTATCCGCCTACTGTCGCCCGTTAGGTTTCGCCGTGGCGGGGCGTGTTGTTCTCCATATCGGTGTTGTCGTTGATTTTAACGTTGACTTTGGTTAATATGGACGAGTGAGTGATGAGGACAAGTGACCGTGATAGCGCTCACGACATACCTATGTGCCTAGGTACTTACGCATTAACCAGTAACCAGTCAGCCAGTCAGTCAGTCAATTAGCCAGAAAGCATACGCCATACGCCATACGCCTACAGAACAGATGCGGACGGAGGCGAACGGGTGTACATACATAGACCAGGTACCTAGCCTAAGCAAGTAAGTACGCAAGCAGCCCGAATCGCATGCATGCGTGCAGTGCCGTGCGGTGCGGTATGGTATGTATGCAACACAAAGCCACGCAATCCCCACGCAATCCCCACGCCAGCGCCATGACCACGACGAGCGGGGAAAGGAAGCACGACGCGACGCGACGGGGTGAGTGTGAAAGCGCTTGCTTGTTTGCTTGCTTGCTTGCTCGCAGCCTAGAAACTCGCTCCGCTGAACACATATCCGACTCAATACCCCGTCCACATCGACATCGACATGTATGTACGTACGTACGTGTCCAACCCACCAGGCGCCCACGCCGTGCCTACCCACGCACACGTTCGCCTACGTGCATGTACTGTATGTACCCAGTCGCCACCGAGTAGTGTAAACCACGCGTCAAAGCCAACATCAACGGCAACGGCGACATGAACGCCCACGCCCACGTTTAAAAAACGGCACAAGGCGGCCAAAAAGCCATCATCCGAGCAGCGCTAATAAAACATCAAGCCCGTGCGGCCGCGCTTGCCTTTGCGGTCGCTGTCCCTGCTGCGGCGTCCCCGCCTTCTTCAGGCCGCGAATATTCCTCGTCAGCATCGGCCGCAGATCCAAATTTATGGTAGTGTTGACGAAAACAAATGGGACGAGAAAAAGCGGAGACGGGGAGGCGAATAAAAGAAAAAGAAAAGCCACAGCCAACCTGAACTTACCCCACCACCGCCACATCAGCATCCTCAGCGTCCTCCTCCGCACCCACCACATCAACCGCGTCTTCCTCCTCCAACCGCAACCCCGCCTTAATGCCCCAAGCACACACAAACGCGCCTCCAAACAGCACCGCCAAGCACACAAATACGGCCTGGCTAAACTTGCCCACCGTCAGGCTATACACGGCATTGAACACGGTGGGCGCCACCACCCGCGCCAGCGCATGCAGCAAGCCCGCCGCACCCAGCATCTGCCCCGTCCGGTCGGCGGGGACGTGCTTTGTCAGCGCAGACTGCAGTGTCGGAGAGCCGATGCCGCCGAGCGCGGCGATGGTGCCCGAGGCCAGGAAGGCGGTCCCGCTGCGCGAGAGGGCGTAGCCTAGGTAGCCGAGGAAGTCGAAGAAGATGGCCACGCGGATGACGGCCAGGTCGAGGTTGTCGCAGCCCGTGTGCTGGTACTTGGTTTTGGATGTGTTGGCTTCGGTGGATGAAGAGGGGGATGAGGGGCTGCTGCTGCTGCGCCGCCCGCGCACCAGACGCGTTGCAATGGGCAGAAGAACCACGAGGCAAAAGACACGAGAAATATTAACGATAGACACGAACCGTGCCGTCTCGAAGTTGCCCCACGCAAAGGCATAGTTCGTGTAGATGATGACGACCGTCATAGATCCCATCGCCACGCCGAAAATGGTCGTATCCACGGCCGCCAACAACAACAAGTTCCGTCGCAGTGCGGGGCTGCTTCCCGGGCCCTTGGGATACAGGATCTTGAGCGGCTCGAGCACATTGAAGTGGCGGATGCGATTGATCCAGTCGGACGACGGGCCGGCCGCCAGCCGATCAAGGGCGTGCTTCTCGCGCGCGGCGCGCTGGCGCGTCTTGCTCAGCGACTCGGGCATGATGAGGCCGGTGAAGAGCAGGAACGCGGCATGCACGCCTATGGCGATGTAGAAGACGGATATCACCGAGCCCATGGCCTTGATGATGTAGGCGGCGATGATGGGGCCGAGGGCGATGCCGGTGAAGAGGGCGGCGTGGAAGTAGGCGAAGACGACGCTGCGCTTGGCGGCGGGCGTGCAGTCGGTCGCATACGAGTGTGCAATGGCTAGCGCGGCGATGAAGGACCCGAATAAGCCGTCCAGCGCGTAGCCCAGCAGAATCCAGTTTACCGAGAACGTCTCCGGGTACTTTGCCGCGCAGATGACGAGCACCTCGCTCGCCAGCATGCCGAAGCTCGTCAAGACCATAATGGGCAGACGGCCGTAACGGTCGGACAGCGCGCCGAGCTTGGGCGAGGTGATGGCGGACAGCAAACCCGCCAGAAGATTGCCGTACAGCGTAAACTGCGCTACCTCCGACTGTACCTCCGGGTTCCGGCATTGTGGATTATCTCCCATAAGGACCACTGGAAGGTACTTGAACGTTGGGTCTTTTGCAGACTCGTCGGCGAAGAACTCGCGGCATATGAGCGAGAGAATGAGGTTCAATTTGGGCACGATGATGCCGCCAAACGCAAGCGTCGACACGAAGAAGACCGGCAGCATCCAGTATATCTGTCACGGTGTCAGCTATGCGATCTCACCTCCAGAACACTCCTAGGGCAACCCACCGAAGGCCGCCGGTACCAGGGCAGCGAGTCCAGCTCCAGCTCTTCCTCGTCCGGTGTTTTCTTCCCATTGCCACCATTCGCGCCTGGCAACAGCGGCGTTTCCTCCGTGTCCACCACCGTATCTCGACGGCCGATTCCTCCGCGTGCCGCCGTCAAGACGTCTTGTCCGGCGTGGCCTGCATGTGGGTATCTGGTAGGGCTTCTGGCGCGCATTCCGCCGTCCACCTCGGCGTCGGCCGCGAAAACGGCGTCATTCTCCATTGCGGAGTGTGTTTCGGTTGTTGTTGAGCGGCTCGAGTAAGAAGGATAGGCCCGGGGGTTATGACGGGAGGATGAGATGAGGTGGCGTGCGAGGGTACGAGGTCAGGAACAGCTCATAAGTTTATCAAGCCAGCTTGTTGATGATTAGGGTGGAGCTGGGATCGGGGGTGTGATTGGCCGAGCAAGGCGATCTGGGGAATGCTGAGGGATAGCGGTGGTCGATGCGCTAGGTGAAGTCGAGCGTTATCAAGGAGAGAGAGTGACGGCATGGTTTCGGAAAATAGAGTAGGGATTTGGATGTGGCTGGAGCTGAATTGAGAGATGAATGACGACGATAAGTCCGGATTTCTAATGCGCGGATCCCGGACTCCGACTGGCCGACGATGGGAGCTCTCCGGGTACACGCGTTGCAACAAACTTCCCGCAACTTCCGCCGCAACCTTCAGCCTAAACAATTCAACCCCATAGGCGGAAAATTGTCCAGTCTCATCTCCAATGCCTATATATACCCTCAGACGAGGCGTGTGGGGTCCCCGCGTGCCCACTCGATCGTACGCGGGGAGACATGTTTCAGAGCAGCATCACCAAGCTGCTGCTGCTGCTACTGTACCTCCCTTCCAGCTCCTGTGCGATTGACAATGGCAGCGACTCCGCCCCCATCGTGACCCTCGACTACGGCGCCTTCCGCGGCCGCCATGACGCCGCCTACAACATAACGCTCTTCCGGCGTCTGCCCTTCGGCGCGTCGACCGCAGGCGCAAACCGTTTCCGTGCTCCTCAACCCCCGGAACCAGTCCCCAATGGCTCCGTCTACGACGCCGACCGCCCCTTCGACATGTGTCCCCAGCGCACCGTCAACGGCTCCGAGGACTGCCTCTACCTGGGCCTGTACGCCCGACCCTGGACGGACCCGCGCGTAAAGCGTCCTGTGTTGGTCGTCTTCTACGGCGGAGGTTTCATCCAGGGAAGCGCGAGCTTCGACGTCCCCCCGCCCATGTACCCCGTCCTGAACGCGAGCGCGGAGAACGACTTCATCACCGTGTTGCCGAACTACCGCACCGGCGCCTTCGGTCTCCTGCCCGGCGCTGCGTTGAAAGACGCTCCGGACGCGGACCTCAATGCGGGCTTGCTCGACCAGCGCGCCGCGCTACAATGGGTACGGAAGCACATTGCGGCCTTCGGCGGTGATCCCGACAACGTGACAATCCAGGGCCAGTCCGCAGGAGGAGGCTCCGTGGTCGCGCAGGCGCTGGCACAGCAGCAGCAGGACAAAAAAGAAGAGCGGCTATTCCAGCGCGCGTGGGCCAGCTCCCCATTCTGGCCCAAGACGTACCGCCACGACGAGCCCGAAGCCGAAGCGCTCTTCGCGCAGCTCGCCGAGCGCGTCGGCTGCGCGGACGCCACCACAGCGGCTGGGACGCTAGCTTGTCTCAAGAGTGCGGACTTGCAGGCCTTGCGCGAGGCCAGTCTCGCAATCGCGGGCTCGCACACCTTCAACACGAGCTCCTACACCTGGGCCCCGATCATCGACGGCGACTTCCTGCGCGCCCCGCTGTCTGCCACTTCGCGGTTCGAGTCGCTCGACGCAGCCGTGGTGAGCTACAACAGCCACGAAGGCGAGAACTTCGTGCCCGGGGGGCTGGGGTCTGCCGCAGGCTCGGACGGGTTCAACAGCAGCGAAGCAGGCTTCGAGGCCTGGCTGCGGGGATTCTTGCCGCGGCTGAGCGGGCCGCAGCGCGATGAGGTGCGGAAGCTGTATCCGGCTGCTGGGGAGGTCGAGCACCTTGGCTGGAACGCGAGTGAGGCACGTACGCGCGCAGGAGTTGTGTATCGGGATGTTGTGCTCGTGTGTCCGGGGCTGAGGTTGGCGCGGGGGACGCAGGCGGCGGAGACGAGGAAGAAGGCAGGGCAGGGGGACGTGCAAGAGATGAAGAACAAGAACGGAAAGGGATACGTGATCGAGTACACGAGCCCGCCCGCCAAGCACGGCAGCGACACGGTGTGGTGGAACAAGCCGTCGGGCATGGTCTACGCCAACGCGTCGGCCATGCGCACATACGAGGGGTACGCGGGCGCGATGGGCCGGTTTTTCATGGCTGGTGATCCGAATGCTGGGCGGGACGGAGGCGTGCCTGCTATGCCGGAGGTGGGGGCTGCGGAGGAGTGGGTGATTGGTGATGAGGGGCGGTTTGAGACGGCTGGGATGGGGAGGTTGGAGGAACGGTGCGCGTTCTGGAGGGGGGTGGGGGGTGGTGTGCCGTTTTAGGTGGGTAAGTGTGTGTGTATGTGCCTGCGATTAGCAGATTGGTCGTTCCTCCATCTTCACGGACGGGTAGATTTCAAGAGAAAGAGCGGGAGGTGAGTCTACCCGTTATGTTAATATCTTCTGTAAGCTTCTTTAGTGTTTTTATGTTGACATTCGAATTTGCAGTACAGAGAGACCAGACCCTATATTATAATATCACGTTTAGAGAAGCCTCTTCCAAATCCCACTACAAGACCCAAAAATACTACCATCATCCTCTCACAGTACTCACTATCCCTCAAACGAGAAATAAAGAGCTACACTACAACCCTCAGTCCCTCTGGAGACAACCTCGGATCACCCCTTACAACCTCACCGGTTTTCTCACACCAATACCGCATCACCTCGCCCATCGCCATCATGATCCAGAAACCTCGGATTCTCCTGGCGCTCACTGCTCCTTCCTAAGAAAAACTTTACAATGCAGCCGAGCCTCCCACAGCACTAATGTCCGGCACCGGGAACCGAGATCCACCACTTAGCGAGACAGGGGACGATACAAGCCGTCCCTATAGAGTACTTCCTGCCTAGCCCAAAGCCCGAGTTTGGGTATGGGTGAAAATTCCTTAGAGCAGACACTGACTCCACACATCTTACTAGGTCTCTTCTACTCCGTACAAGTATTACTATCTCGCTTCACGATAAATATTGCTTCACGGTAACCGACGTTAAAGCTCCTAGACTTTAGGTAATTTAATAGGTTGAATATGACGTAAATGTATGCATATACCTTTACTAAAAATGTTACTACATACTGAAATATATCTAATTTCGAAAAAAGGCTACCTTTAGGGATGTTTTATCGGTTGCCAATTTGCCTTCACCTGGTTTTCTCTTCCCATTTCCAGAAACATAAAGCGTCCCTCGCATCGATATTTGCTGTCCGTGTAACATTTTGGAACACCCCTCAGCCCCTTGCACCGATGAAGTCATCTTCTGTTCAACGTTACTTCTACCTCCTTTTTTTGGGCTCCCTTGATGCCGCTACATTACTTAAAACCTCTTATTGCTTATGGAATCTACAGTATTCTCCACGTCTTGGAAGCCAGCATCTTTTTACAAATTAGCGTTCTGCCTCTCATTTACATCCCGAATCAAAACAAGATGCAATATCCAACGGAAGTCGAAATAATTTCAGCCATAGACCGCTACCGCCAAGAAGTTGAGCAGCACAACAGGCGTGCCTTTACAAGATTTGTAGAACACGCCGAGTCAGCGGGACAAAACACGGCGAAAAGCCTCGAGCAGATTTCCGAAGCACGTCAGAGATTTCTATACCGCCTTCTGTGCTTCTCTCGCCCAGAGAGGCTGCCGCAATCACTCTGCATCGATACACCCGCCGATGTTTTCACAAAATGGACACAGTTGGTACGCGCTTTCGAGCTGGATGGTGTACGCATTGGCGAGGATGGAGAGACACGGGCAGAACAGCGTGAAGTGTATAAACGCGGGATCATGAATGGCCTCCAAGATACAACGACCGAGTATCAAGACGAGACAGGAGAAGATGCAGAGTTGGAATTTCCTCAGGACTTCTGGAGCCTCATGGGTGTTGTCGACAGCCTTGTGGGCCACGGCTGGCCACAGTACCGCGAGGAAGGCCAGCAGATTCGATTTTGGGATGGCTTAGGCGAGGAAGAGGGTGAGGTAGAGGACCGCCTGGTGGATCCCGAGGATATCGCCGAGCAGCTCGAAGAGTGGGATGTTATGGCGGGCTGGGAGTCGGGCAGCGGGCCCGAGACCACTTGCTATATTCTTTTTTGTCGTTCTAGGGATGACGAACGCAAGGGCTGGGCATGGCGGTACGTGGCAGACATGGGTCAGTATGGTACCGAAGTGTTTGACAATGTTGTCGAGTTGCTTCAGTGGTATGAGACGCTCCACAAACCAGACCTAGAAGACTTGGATGTATGGATGAGGGACATTTTCAAAAATTAGAGGAACTAGGACACTATTACGGAAAATTGAGCCGGTCCGTGATCGAATATTTTGTAGCATCGAAGCCACGTCAATAAATAGTATTGGGCTATCTTTAATGCTTGGACTAAACTTAATTGCGCGGGGTCATGGCCGAGAGACATTATGGTCAGAGACCCGGAGCTAAAACATACACCCATCATCCTTCTCTTCCCCAAAAAGAAAAAAGATTTGGTATATGTAAAAATACGACAGCACCGGTCTTAACTAAAAAGAAGCAACTTTATCCCCGACATAGCAAGTACCACCATAAACTGTCCGCTATACGTCCTGTTCAATTTGAAGAGCCAGTAAGCACCAACATGTACCCAAACTGGGACAACAAAAACAAAGATGTTTGTTCTTAGCCTTTCTCCATCGTCACTTCTCAACGTGATCCATCTCCACTTCCGCCGGCGACACAAACACCAATAAGCATGAAGGAACAGAAAGAAACTCAGGACGGCTTCCTCGACAAGTGGAATCGCTAGCTGATATTCATGAGCGTGTTGCCTCTGGGATTTGAAAGGGTCGGGAAGCTCCAATAACATGGTATACTTTCTCCGCCATCTCCGCAGGTCCGAAAGAGCCCTAAGAAGAGCAAAGCCACGGCGTAGTGGCGGGAAGCCGTTATAGTCGAGATTCTGTGGGTTACCTACATTCATGTTAGATAAGTACAATGCGCCGCTGGTACACATTCCCTGTCTTCTCTTTCATCCATACCTTCGATGACCCAGAAAGTAGAAGCTTGCTCGCTCGCTCCGCGTGTACAAGTCGCTTCCAACACGCGATTAATTACATGCTGTACTGTGTCGTTCTTGGATGCATAACCATCGTAATCAATGTAGGTGCGGAAGCTGGTGGCCAGATAGCAGTTTTGCGAAGGGTTATATAGACTCAGCCCCGAATCATGATGTTGGTCATAGTATAGAACCCAAGTGGTGTTAATGGAAGAATCAGGGTAGGTTCTAGAGAGTTGCGGAAATGTCAGTCTGATACGTTCATTTCCACCAATATAACAAATATGAATAAGATCGTGTTCGCGGGATAGGGGAAGGTACACTGAAAAGAGAACACAAAATTTGACAATAGAAAATAATTACTCACCCTACTTGAAAGCGTAAAAACGAGCCGTCTACGTCGTGTGTCTTACCCATTTCACTGTCGACAATAGAAGGCTTCCCTTGCACAACGCCTAAAAATCTTCCGGTGACTCGACTGCGAAGGAAAACTGCGTCCTCGGACACAAGAGAGCTGCCGCTGCGTTTATAGGCTTGCTGAGTCGCGTCTGATTCGACCGGAACTGAAGCTAATTGAAGTACCCATGGATGGCGGCGGCCAATAGGATCAGCAAAAAATGCCCGGTGAGGTTCGTTTTCTAAGCTGCTCTGCAACAAGTCTAGGCCAGGAGTGGAGCCAAAGACACCGAACTCTTCCCTCCATATAAGGTTGTCCGTCCAGAGGAAACCAGCTCGCGGCATGTATAGAGATAGCGGAGTGTAAGGGATTAGCGTGTGAAGTTGAAATGATCCATGAAAAAAATCAGGTCTGGAACCAGAAGACCATTTTGCTGGACTGAGAAATCTTCGGTACGAAGGAGCAAGAAAAACAAGGTTGTAGTTACCACCGGCAGATACTTCAGATGTTGGGAAGATTAGGCCGTAGATAAGAGACAACAGTAAAGGTGGTAAAATCACAGCGCGAAGGATGACAAGTACGAGATGTAGAGCAATAGAGCAATGCCCTACTGAATATTAGTATTTTATCTCCGACCTCTTTTGCAAGCCAGAATCTAATGCCTGTTGCTTACCAATTAATGTGTAGTATTGTTCTCTATGACGCTTGGAGGCCGAGATGATTCTGCAAACTAAGAGCATGGAATAACAGGTGATTAAATCGACGATATTGGCACCTAGGGCGCTTGCAAGTACCACTGAAGCTTCAGGAATGCTAAAGAGTTCCTTTATCAGCCCAGCCCTAGACATATCACGCGGCAAAGTGAGTGCAACTAATGAGAGGACACATGATGCTATGCCTGAGGATGTGGTAAGCGGACTCGAGACTAAGGAATTAAATAGGAAGCAGCAATGAAGACAGAATGCGACCAAGGTACAGGTAACACAGAAAATCAACCAGGAATTCAAAGGCATTTGACGGGATAAGGGCGAAAATGATCGGATGAGAGCAAAGGCAGTGATCAGCCGACTACCAAAGCTTAGATAGACCAAAACCATCCCAGAAGTTTGCATAGCGAGTAGAAAAGATAGGGGTGGGAACAACTCTATGATCAGCTGCCCTTTGGAAAAGAATGTAGCGAGCACACCGTGGATGTTCTCTGTATTGGCATCTAACGAGCCCTGAGACACCAGGTTAAGCAACAAGAAGACAATTGTGAATGATAGGAGCATAGGCACCGGGTGATAGTTAGAGGACATGATCGAATAAAAGCGGATAAATGTAGGTACCGGCAGAGTACATTCCCCCTTTAAGTGCGACGGAAACGTTGAAGTTAATATAGTTATATGTAATGTATATGGCCACACGTCGTATCAAAAGCTAACATTGAAAATGGAAGGGAGCTATTAACGAGGATTCCAAGAATCCCTTGAATCCCTTGTGGAGACCGGACAAAGTAACACGAAAATGCTACGTGACACCGCAAGCCTTCTGATTTGAGCTGTAGGAACAGCTGACGAGTGGCACTAACAAAAGAAAGGACGGGCACATCACTTTTCCCTTTACAGAGGTCCCTAGACACCGAAGCCAAAGCCTAACGAGCGCCTCACGGAGATGGTAACACTTGCTCAAACCTAACCTAAAAAAATATATATGAATACCCTTGTGTTTCTATTGGAAAATTCTTTCCTAAATAGTCTGCATACCCGGCTAAGGTCTGAACCTGCAGCCACAAACCCAACATTTATGCATCTTCAGCTCGAGCAATGCACCTACTCTTCGCACTATGTATTGCTCTGGTGGCGATTGAGGTTGCAGCTCTCCCATCTTGGACTTCCTTTCTTTTCGCCAGCTCCGATTGTACTACGAAGACAGTTCATGCCGATGACACATGCGGTTCACTGGCAACGAAGTGTGGTATATCCGCTCAAGACTTCAACAAATACAACAAAGCTTCCAATCTCTGTTCTGCATTACAACCATATCAGCGCATATGCTGCTCTGAGGGCACATTGCCAGATATTCGTCCAAAGCCATTGAAGAATGGAGGATGTGCAACATATGTTGTCCAGAAAGACGACACATGTGCTTCCATCGCAGCGAGAAATGGGCTGAAGGCTACCGACATCGACAACCTAAACAGGGTCAAGACATGGGGATTCAACAACTGCACCAAGGGTCTACCAAAGGGCCTGAAAATATGCCTGAGCAACGGCAACGCTCCGATGCCCGCGCCTGTAAAGGGCGCAGTCTGCGGGCCGACCAAACTCGGGACGAAGCCGCCACCACCAGGAAGTAAAATTTCATTTGGTGACTTAAGCCCATGCCCTCTCAACGCATGTTGTAATATTTGGGGGCAATGCGGCATCTCTAGCGATTTTTGCAAGCCGACTCAAGGAGATTTTGGAAACCCAGGAACAGGACCGCCTGGAACCAACGGATGCGTTCAGAACTGTGGCATGGACATTATCAACAATGAAATGGCGCCAGAAAGACCAATATCGGTAGGCTACTACGAGACTTGGAACATGGATCGCCCGTGTATGCAAATGCCAGTGCGGTCTATCTGGGAGCTCGACAGCACCTATACACACATTCACTGGGCCTTCGGCATCGTATACCAAAACTTATCTGTCGGAGTCAATGACACATATAATCAGTTTGCCGATTTTGTTGCCCTCGGCTCCGGAACCAAGCGTATTATCTCTTTCGGCGGATGGGGGGTCTCGACCAGTCCAGATACATATAACTTGCTGCGGCAGGCGGTCAGTCCTAAGTATCGGGAAACTTTTACTGATAGTGTCGTTAGACTAGTGAATAAGTATATGCTAGATGGTGTGGACTTTGATTGGGAGTATCCAGGTGTAAGTCTCTTCCTCTTGAAAAATACTTCTAATAATGAGAAAAGGCTCCAGATATACCCGGCATTCCGGCTGGCCTATCTAGTGATGGAGAGAACTACCTAGAGATGCTTAAGGTAATACGAAAAAAGCTTCCGAAGGGTAAAACTCTATCTATCGCTGCTCCTGCTTCTTACTGGTACCTGAAAGCCTTTCCAATCGACAAAATGGCAGAGGTTTTGGATTATATTGTTTACATGACCTACGACCTCCACGGTGAGTTAAAAGGTATGCTTTTAGACTTAACGCCGCTAATTCACCCTAGGGCAATGGGACTACGAAAACAAATGGTCAGATGATGGATGTCCCGCTGGTAATTGTTTACGCAGCCATGGTAAGGTAACTCTTTATACAGTCAAAACTTGTTACAACGATTACGCCTGTCGGCAACCTCCAACTGTTAACAAGGCGTTACTAACGTAAAGGCTAGTTAACATAACTGACACAATGCTAGCACTCTCTATGAGTAAGTTACTCTGTACTAACATCTACTAGCTCCTTAAACTAACTACACAAACGTCCAGTTACCAAGGCAGGAGTCCCTAGTAAAAAGATTTTAGTTGGCGTTTCGAGCTACGGAAGGTCTTTCAAGATGACAGACCCGAATTGCAGTGGCCCAATGTGCACATATATAGGGCCTGAGTCAAAGGCAAAACCGGGAATATGCACGGGTGCCGCTGGCTACATATCTAACGCCGAGATAAATCGCATTATTCGCGATGGAGGCAAAATCAAACACTGGTTTGATGAGAGTACCATGACTGATTTACTTGTCTATGAAGGTACGTCATCCGGGTTCTTTAAGAACTACCCACTAATGCTCAAGTAAGGGACCGAGTGGGTAGCATATATGTCAGAAGATAATAAGGCAGCGCGGAGAGGAAGATGGGCGAACCTTAACTTTGGCGGCACCATCGACTGGGCAGTTGACCTCCAGGCTTTCAGTGAAGGAAGCGGCTGTCCACCAGGAACTTGCGATGAGGCTGGGGTGCTCTACGTAGCTCCAGAACTCTACACACAAACGGATCCCACAATATCCTGTAAGCCTCCTTGCCAGCTTATATTGCCTCCGTTTAGACTCTCCACAACGACCACAATCACGTTTCCACCATACACTACATCTCTTGAGGTTGCGTGGACGGAGACTATCACGACGACGGATAAAAATGGCCACACCAGTACCAGCAAGTCTGTTCAACGGATAATTGAAACCACGACGCTTAAAGTCCCACCCGTTATTACAACCGAGATCCCTTTCTGGAACCATAATATTGGAAACGACAGCAATGCCACCATCTTGTGGCTCACCCCGAGCATTCTGCCTCCCCCTTTCACTATTATCAATGACCCAAACCCGAAGAAGAAATCTGGTGTATCGCACCCGCCTGTTACCAGGACCATTACGCCGCCCCCTTGGCCATGGTCATACTCCACGCCTAGAACCATACCCCTCGTCAGCGAAAAAGTCCCAATGTCCGTTAAACTCCATAACGGGGAACCCGGCCCAGCCTGTACAGCCAACTGTGGACATAAATGTCGCGTCTTTTGTGACAAGCCTTGTCTACATTGTTCACCTAATGGCGGGACACACGGTGACTTTATCGATCCCAGCGACCCTGACCCACCGCCGTTTCCACCACCTCCGGACGAACCTCAACCTGGATCTAAAGAAAATGTATGTCAGCCAGACGTCAAGACGGATACAGGACTTTGCTCTAATGGTAACGTACCTGTATTCGACCCTGTCTCGCTGCAGGTACGGTGTGATATCTCCTACGAGGATGCACCAGACTTAATTACGAGTTGCCAAGGAGCTCTTGACGAAGACCTTAATAGCGCAAAAGATGAAGCAGAGCTTTCTTCCAAATGTTGTGCAAAGGGCAAGTTCGACAAGCTTGGAAGACGAGCATCGAATCCAGCATGCCCCGCTCCGAAACCGCCATCGAATAATCCCAGCTCCGCATACGACACAACATTCGTCTGCGATTTTAACCGGTGGCCTAATGTCTGCGCCAATGCGCGTTCAGCAATAATGTCGCGCAGTAAGACCGACATATTGACATATAGTAGTGGATCTAAACTCCATCCCACTAAGCCATGGTACGAAGGGAAATGGCAAGCCGGCGGCCAACCTGCAAAAGGCCGTATTCAAAATAACAAGATGGAAGCATTCGATGGCTGGGGCCTCATAGATTGCGAAGTGGAGGAATATCCTTGGGGCTCGGGAAACCCTAATCGCCGCCCGAACCTTCGCAAATGGGACGAACAATCGGTTCTGCGTCTGATTCCACGAGAAGAGAATGGTGACCACGGTCAGGCACTTGCCAAGTTCTATAGGAAGGCCGGAGGTGGAAGACCGCGTCCAGGACTAAGATACAAAGTCACTTTCACCAACGCCCCGACAGGCAACTCAGACGATGACCACTTCCTGGGCGCCGACACGTCGCGAAACATCTGCGCTAAACCTTACGGAAACGCATTCTTGCTTGTTAATTCCGCTGTTGTAGACGCCGGCCAGAGATCTTACGATCCATGGTGGGATAACAAGCTGTTCAAGAAGACCGTGGACTACTTAACGGACCGAGCAAATGGTCGCGTCACATCACATGTTACAACCATGACCAACAGTGCCTACTGTCAATTCCCGTCACCAGGTAAAAAAATATACGATCCCGTAACCGGCAAGTGGAACAGGCACGGACTTTCGGGCGCATTTGACCGCAAGGAGGATAACCAGTGGTATTCTTGCAATAACTACCCCAGCTATAATGGACCTGCCAACGTGCCAACCCGAAAAAGGCGTGGTATGGTGAATCGCATCGAACCTAGTTTCATCGATGTGGGCGAACAGGTTATTCAGCAGAGGAAGATGCTTAGTCCCCGCCAGTTAAGCGGAGGCAGCTTCTTAGACGCCAGTGCCTTCCTTTATCTCGGCTGTGGAAATAGCGACGAGGATTGGTGTTACTACCAAGGCAACGGCTGCTCCGACTCACAAAGCAGCAATGAAGACTGGAATACTTCCGACCCTCCACCTCCACCTCAAGAGCCCCCACCACCGCCACTGCCTCCCTCTCCGCCGGTAACTCCTCCTGCCCCTGAAGCCGACTGCGCTTTTTGGGACGAGGGGTGGGGCTGGCTGTTTGAGATCTACAACATCGAAAATTGGGCTAGTGATGGCGGCAGCAAGCTACACTCTGAGGAGAAAGGGTGTGGCGCTTTAACAGGTTGGAGCTGGACAGAAGGGGACGAAAACAAATATCCAAAAGCGTACTTTAACCTTCCCTTTTTTATTAAGGAGGGCTGTGTCGAGCGCGCTATTATATCTGCGGGTGGGCCGAAATTATCCTGCAAAGGGCAGGGGCTAGCTCGTAGGTAGAAGGCTATTATTACCTACAAGAAAGCTTTATTAGCTACTTGAATGTATTTTCACATAATAAAAAGGCTAGAGCTAACTTGGATATTAGAACCCCTAGCATCCAAGACACAATCCAAGTCGAACTAAGGCTAATTTAAATTATTATGATACAACGGGCTCGCATCAACCTGAGCCTTCCACAGCGGCCACTCCTTTCCTTCCCCTCCTTCAGATAGGGGCTGGCTGTCCACTATCTCCGATGGGCTTAGAAACTCTGGGTCGGGCCCTCCCTCGCTCGCGACAATCACTTCCGCAGTCTCTTGGATCTGCTCGTTGTATAGCGTGTAGATGGCTTTAAACACGGCCTGGTGGACGGTGGTGCCCCAGCACGTGAAGCCGTGCGCGCGTTGCAGCACGACAGAGATTGGGGGAACATTGGCTGTCCCGTTGGCTACACTGGTCCCATTACCGCTAAACGTAGCAGCAAGTGCATCGCCGAGATACTCGCTGTTGACGAGCAAAAGGCGCTGAGCACCGGGTGGGTAAAAGTCCTCCGGGTCGTAGACGGGAACGCCGTTCCCGAGGAACGCGGCAAGGTTGATCATGGGCCGCAGCGGATCCGCAGTATTGCCCCTGGCGACAAGCGGCAGCGCGTGCGAATGGATGACCGAGTTGACGCCCGGATACGCGGCCAGGATGCTAGCGTGGATGAAACGCTCGTGGTAGTTTGACGCTGCGTTGCCTGTGCTCCCGGAGACGGGAACCGCATCGCCGACGGTGAAGAGCGCGAGGTCATTGACGCTGCGCATGAGCGCGGGCGGCAGGACGCCTGTCATGTAGAATGTGGTGGGATCATCAGGGTTGCGCAGAGAGATGTGCCCGAAGCCGTTGACAACCTCGTGGTAGTCGAGGATGTGGTTCGCGTCTATGAGGTCCGAGAGGTCGGCGGTGGTGTTTGCCGCGGTCGAGGGGAAGACGTAAAGACATGTGAGTAGGACAACTGCCCTGAAAGAGCGTGTGAGTTGCATTCTGCGAAATTCTAATTTATGGAAACGTAAAGTGCAGTGTCTGAGGTGGAGAGTTATTAAAGTCTCAAAATGCTATTTATCACAAGCCGGCTTCTGATGTGGAGAGCCGGCTGCCAGAAGCAAAACCTAATATGTCGGTAGTATACATAGTGGCGCATCCGGGATGGTGCAGACACGGGTCCCCTTCCGTACTTGCTCGTCCCGAGGCTGTTTTTCGACATCACAAACCTTCCTCCAGAATTTTATTTTCACAGACGTCATACCAGGTTCAGGGGATTAACCGTCTAACAGTACATATCCAGTAGAAAGCTCGTTTCGTAAGGTCGGTTTACGCTGGGAAGAGCCCAGTTCAGACCAAGTTTATGTCCGTTTTCTAGCTGAAATGTGTATCCAGATGCGGCTCTAAGACCGCCTAAGCTGCCATCGTGGGCTATAAGTTAGGTAAGGAGTACTCTATAGGGACTGCTCATATCGCCCCCGTCTCGCTAGGCGGTTAGTCTCGGTTCGCGGTAACCACGTCGTATTATGTCGCGATGTCTTCGGTCGGTAGGGTAAGGTCGGGCTTAGAGCTAGAGAAGGAGTCATCTGTAGGGACTGCTTATATCATCCCCTGTCTCGCTACACGGTGGATCTCGGTTCGCGATGACAGATGTTATCATGAACGTGAGTCCCCTTCCGTACCTACTCGTCCTGATGCTGTCTATGGGCATTACAAACCTTTCTTAGGATCTCCGTTTTCACCGAATAGTTACGTCATATCAGATTTAAGAGTAACCGTCTGAGAGTACATGGCCTATAGGCTATCTCTTATTAGGGACGTCACCGGAAGACTTCCGCCTTGCTAAGATACACGACAGCCCTTCACAGATCTAGACTAAAGATAAGTATTCAAGTGAGGCTGAGCTGATGCAGAAATCAGAAAATAAAGGCAAGAAATGGGCTCTTGAATCTATTTATAACCAGGTACAAGGCTGGGGCATCCATCGTGTCATTCCCATCCTATCGATTGCGAGGCCGACATGATGCAAGTCATCAGCCGGTAGGCTCGTGGCACATTCAAAACCCGAATGAAACACAAACACAATGTAGTAAAACACAAACTGTTCAAGGCTGACCAGATTCGCAGGAAAATTCAGCCTGATGGGAATCACAAAACGTATTCGGCCCTGAGCGAAAGGTACAAATAGTTCTGGCAGCTCGACAGCATAGAGGTCCACCTCAATCTTCTTTAATCAGCGGTTCTCCAGCACAACTCCTCAATTGATTGACAGCCCGACACCCTTGCACAACCATGGAGACTGAGCAAGACCGCTTGTCCCAGGAAATATCAGACGGCGATTCCGTTGACAGCCCTGGTGAAGGTGGTTCCCAACAAGCCGAAGCCGAAGCCGAGTCGACACATTCAATTGAGTTTTCTGCGAATTTCAGTTACCTAGAGCCTATTATCGAAGGCCTTTCGGAGGCAGCATCTCTCCTGCCAAAGTCTGATCCGCAGAGCAGCCAGGCCTCAGCTTCGACCAGCCCACGGCATTCATTAGCCGGGCTCAACGCGCAGAGGTCGCAGAGCCCGCTTTTCAGGCATGAGAACGAGGACCCCAACAGCCTTGGTGGTGATAGCAACCAGCACAATGATGCTTTAGGCAACCCCGAAGAACTGTTTGAAGGAAGTCTCCCACCAAGTCCTCCGGTTTCGCCGGTATTAAACCTTGCCATACCACCTACAAACTCAGAGAACTTTAGCGAACACTCTGGATCCTTGCGCACAGCTAAATGGCAGCCTTATACCTTGCGGTGGCCATTCCTTTCGCTCCTTGCCATGACCATGTTTGCGCTCTTCTCAGCCGTGTCATTCGTACAATAATATTCTGCCGCACACAACGGGCTCGGCAGGGATGATGGAAGCTCTGTTATTCTCTTCGGCTCGAGGTTTATGCCATCCACCTTTGCCGTAGTCTACGTTCAGCTTACGTCCATGCTTTTGGACGACGTTAAGAGGACGGAGCCCTTTGCTCGAATGGCCAAGCCTGGAGGTGGACGCGCAAGACACACAATTCTTCAGGCTCCCGGCGCTTGGTGGAATGCGCTAGCAGATGGGCTGTCCCGGAAGAAGAACGGTATTAGGCGCTCTGGCTTGGTCCTACTCGCCGCGGCTTTGATCAACATCATCGGCTTTCTTGCAGTCTCACCACTCTCTGCATCCCTACTGGAATCAAAAGACGTGACTGTTTCCAACCCAGTTACGTTCTCCCGTTTACATTTCAACAATACTGAACCTCTTCTTCCCGAGATTGGCAGGGAGACCTACTTACGAATTCTTGGCCATCTCTTACAAGATATAGAGACTTCAGTCTGGATTATGGATAACTACACAGTTCTTCCGTTCTGGCCCTCTGATATTCGGGATGCACCTCTTGGCCCCTCTCTCACTCCGCTCCCTCAAGAGTGGCAAGCCGAGTCGCTGGTCCTGGGCACTGAGCTTGAATGTCAACCGATGCACTTGGTTAGCTCATACTTAGGCTCAAGAACAGTTACCAGGGAATACTATAATGACACCGAAGACGTTCTCTTGGCATCCTTAATCCTAAGGTCTGGCGACGGCCGTTCATACGGTATGGAGGCTGAGCCCAGCGTTATGACCCGTGCTGCAGCTTTTTAGACGAATGCTACGGAGCAAAAACCAGCAAGCTTTCTTAGTAAAGGATTGAAATATCCGCACTTATATTCCTCAACAAACCATTCAAAGGTATGTAATGGCAGAGAACTCATTTTCTTCTCAAACCAGTGGACTAATTCTAGCGCGCCAACCAAATTATCAGCTCAGATATGCTCGCCACGCCATTACCAGGCATTTTTGCAAGTAAAAGCCATATCATCTGATGTACAGCCAAGAGTGGTCTTCGATGAGCAGGAGTATCTTGAAAAAGGACAGAAATCCCCAATACGCGTTTGAGAATGCAGGAGTTCGACACGAACGTTCTCTCAGCGGACTGGCCAAGCTACCTAACAATTCCAGAGTACCGAACCCCGGATGATGTCTCAGACCTTGCTTTGCTGTTGGCTGCACAATTCGATTTCAACGTGGCATCGCTTGTATCCAAAGACGGAGTCGTTGCCCTTACAACCCGAATCAGACAGCGAATCCTGGGCGAAGCTTTACAATACTCTTTTCCTCGCAACTCATCGACGACTGAGCAGACCTTGGGCCGCGTCGATGCAGTCGAAAAACGAGTTGTCGTCACAAAGGGCGTCGCAATTTCCTTATCGTCTTGTTTCGCAATTTCTGCATGTCTGCTTATTACAGTACTTGTGTTTTCGAAAAACAGCCAAAGAGAACTCAACTTGGTGCACGATCCAGCCACAGTTACTGGAGCGGCTGATTTGGTCGTCTCTAGTAGCTCGAGACTTGTCGGTCTTCTTTCGGCATCTCAGGTATCGACTAAGGAGCTAAAGCACATCTTAAGCCCATATAGATATTCCACGACTCACGGAGCGTTGCACCAATCCAAGACAGATACTACTGCATTAAATGGTAAATCTTCCAGTATTTTAGGTACAGACGTATCGATATTGACCCGCAAGCAGAGCCACACGCACCTGTACCGCAGAAGCCAAGTTCTCCTCCAGCAGTACTACGCTTTCGGACCCTGCTTGTTTTTATAAGTTATCAAGTAGCCATCTTGGTTGCTGTTATAATCCTGTATTCCTTCGCCTGTCGCTCTCTCTTACATCAGTCGGCATTTGTTTATCAGACAAACGTGACAATCCTCAGCTACAAGCTTCCGACAATTGCACCGATTTCTATCGTCCCTGTACTTCTTGCTGTAAGCGTAAGCTTATGGTGGGGTGCTATTGATAGTACATTCCGTCGGCTTCAACCATTCCTCGCTCTTGTAGAGCAACCTACAGCATTTGCAAGAGGACCGGCTCTCTCTTATCAAACGACTTACTGGGCCGCCGCAGCTTTGAAAGCTGTGTATAACAAACACTGGTTGCTTTCGTTAGTTACTATTGGAACATCATTATCCCCTGTTCGTAAGTTTTTACAGCCCTCAAACTTATCTCAATGCTTAACTTTGCAGTAACCATTGCGATGTCCGCACTCTTCGAGAGTGGAGAAGGTAGCATGTTGCAGAGCATGGAAGTAGTACGGAATCTTGAGTTGCGTACTGTTCCTATGCTTTGGGTGCTACCAGTCTCCTATGATCCCCATCGTGGTAGAACCGAGGCGTCGGATGCCATAAGCAACCTTTATTCTAACCTGGCCACAAATTGGCTGTACACTGCTACTATTCAACTGTCACTTAACGGTCCACAGCCACCGTGGAGTCGAGAAGGCTGGAGTTTCGTGCCTGTTGACCTCTCAGAGCTGCAAAACGCCAGCATCACAGAAAACTCGGCAGGTTCCTCCGTCATGCCCACTATGAACGTTTCTCTGTACACGCCTGCAATTCGCGCTCGCCTTGAATGCAACCCGTACGAAGGACTCGACAATGTATCATCATGGCTAACTCCCTACAATATGAGCGACCCCAAGTGGAACGCCGATATCAACCCGCAGTATTCTGGAGATAGCTACCGACTCGGCGACTCCTCATCAGACAACTGGTGGGGCTGCCAATTTTTCAACACGTCTTTCCTTGCGATTCCGCAGTAACCCACATGTTGCAGTAATGGTAGCACAAATGATACGGCTGCTAATATGGTGCTCGGTTACTGGTCACCACAAATTGGGGAGCAGCACACTTTCGATTGGGTAGCGGCCCCGCTAAATCTCTCGACTAAGTGGTTCTACGGCCATGAAAGCTCACAAGTTAAAGGCGATCGGGATATTTGGATCTACGATGATGTTCCTAAAGTGGTCGCTTTACACTGCATTCCAGTCATTGAGAAAGCTTCTGCCCACGTAACAGTGGATCGTTGGTCAGGCCGCGTCCAATCATATTCAATAGAGGACGAGCTACAAAACGCAGGAGAAGCATGGGCTGAAGTTTTCGCATGGCATCGATCTATCAATGAATTAATCGAAAACTCCAGCGGGCATGGGGCATTGAAGAGCAACATCACAGTTAGGTAAGCGAAGCATTAAATTGCAAGGTATTCTGTGAGCATGTCCGACTGACTGTCTTTAACTAGTTACGGCATTTTGTTCCAGTATGCTCTAATCGAGGCCGCACATCTCAACGTGCTAGGCGGTATTCCAATCGGCGTTACAGAAGTTAACTACCCTATGGGCTGGGGATCAGAAGACCTCAACGACAACACATTCAATTTTCGCGACCGAACCCAAGGCCTCAATCTCGATTTCATGACATACGCTATGTACTGCCTTGCAGGAAAGGACCCACAAGCTTTGCTGGATCCAGCTCTACTGGAGCGCTATGCACAGACGGCACTTTCAACGTTCTTCCAGCACTTTGTCAGCGGCAATTTATCTTCCAGCTCTACCACCGCAACACACAATGACGATGTCGGATCATGGGCCTATCAGATTATCAACACCACCCTGCCGACAGACATTGGGGAGGAGTTTTCAAGTGGTCCAGACTCGATCAGCGCTGATGCGGGTTCGCACGCGCCGGTCTCGCACACCAACCGCACTGCCATTGTCACGGTGGAGACACCAATCGAGCTGCTCAAAATGAATGCCGTGGCCGTGTGGCTGAGCATATCAGTTCTCGCATGGCTGATCGTCACGACCATAGTCGTCGCCGCACTGCAGAGCCGTTATTTACGCAAATTGAACAGGAACAGTATCGATTGCATTGCGGACGTCCTTGTTTTAGTAGTCGGCAGCGATAAGCTCCTACAGCTCGTAAGGGAAAGGGGGCCAGAGGGGACAAGAGGCGAGAAAGATGTTAAGGCTAAGCTCGATTGGTTCGTTAATAGTAGCGGGCAACGTAGGTGGGGCATTGAGGTCGTCGATAGGGAGTAGTATAAAAGGCTATCGAAAGTTTTCCCTCTATAAATTATTCTTCTTTTAAAATAAATTTCATTTCTTTTTAATACTGATTCCCCGTTTACAGTATAGAAGAGGAGTAGAGCAATATATAGAGAAACTAGAGAAAGAAGCTAAAGAAGTAGAGAATAAGAAATAGAATAAGGATTAGCTATTACGTATACTATAGTACTAACTCTTATATAGGCTTTTCTTAGAAGACTTAATGCCCGTTACTATTAATCGAGATTTACTATAAAGCGAGATAGCAATACTTATACGGAGTAGAAGATAAGACCTAGATAAGATATATAGTCTATATATAATCTAAGACCTTTTTATCTATACCTAGAACTCGGGCTAGGAGTTAGGTAAGAAGTACTTACAGAGACTACTTATAATGTCTTCTATTTCTCTATACAGTAGATCTCGGTTCGCGATAACGGACGTTAAGAGTAATAAATAGACATAGGGGTACCTTACTTATACTAGACGGCTTTACCTCTGCTTTAGACGTCCTTTTACCCGTATTAACTTCCTGATTACTAATATCAACGTACTCTATTAAGCGCGCAGCTGTCTCAGTGCCTCGGACGTCCATATTGTATTACTATAATCTACCTTTTTTTTATAAAAACTTTATGAAGAAAAAACTAGAATATAATAATAAAAGAGGGAAATAAGAATTTTTTGGACCGTCGGACATCCAACTTCGGTGATAACGGTGGTGAAGGCGCGGGCCTACAAGAGGATGCCGCTATCACCGAGTTGGTGGGGGGCAATACTTGTCAGCGAAATGGATGCGATGTGATTGGTCCGGCTATGCTAGCTTTGCGGGGTCGGTTTTGCTTCACGGCCACGAGAGCCAGGGAGTCAGAGGGAAGGAAAGGAATCGCACTGACTCTTATCTCGATTCGGATGGAGAGTCAGCCTCTATAAAGTTCCCTAGCGCCACGCCTATCTGAACTTCTTGTCTCATCCATCATCTTCTTTCTCAACTTGCCATCTGCCTCATCATCTTTTTAGTGATCATCGACTTCATCATCGCCAGCCTTCAACATCCTCGGCAATGGCTATTCTAAACTCAGCGGCTTTCGAGACGCCCTTTACGAGCGAGACACTCATCCGCGTCAGGACCGGTAAGATTAAAAGCATCCCCGGCACGGAGATTAAGAGCGCGATCAATAAGACGATACGGCAGGGACGCGTCTTCATCAGCAAACACGGGGTGCAAGACGACGAGCAAGAGTTCGAGCGGCACGGCGGCCCCGACAAGGCAGTAATGCAGTACTGCAGGCGGCACTATGCTGACCGGGCCGCCGAGCTGCCCCAGAGCGCGCCGTTCTTCAAAGAAGGCGGGTTCGGGGAGAATTTTGTCGGCGTCGTCGCCAACGAGCGCAACATCTGCATCGGCGATGTCGTTGCCGTTGGTGACAACAACGTCTTGCTTCAGGTCAGCCTTCCGCGCGCGCCGTGCTACAAGCTCAACCACCGCTTCCAGCACGAGAACATGAGCCGGCTTAGCCAAGAGTCCAGCAGGATGGGCTGGTACTATCGCGTTCTTCGAGAGGGGTTTGTCCAGCAAGGCGATGCCATGCGTCTCGTTGAGCGGCCCAATCCGAAATGGACCGTTTTCGCTGTCCAGCAGTATATGCATCGCGAAAAGTCCAACCAGGAAGCGATGCGCGAGCTCGTGGCACTGAAAGAGCTGGGAGAGGAAGCGCGGAACCTGTTCGCCAACCGCCTCGCGAAGAAGATGGAAAGCGAGGAGCATCGGCTCAAAGGCGGGGCAGAAGACGCTCTTGAGACTTGGGCTGAGTATAGTGTGGTCATCAAGCGAAAGGAAACCTCTCGCATCATGTCGTTCGTTTTTGAAGCCGTTGACAGTGCTCGTAGCGAGCAAGACGTCCTTCCAGGCTCCCATGTGCGGGTTAAGCTGGGAAACCTCATCCGCTCGTACTCAATCGTCGCGGGCAGCCCCTCCAGGCTGGAACTGGGCGTTGCTCTCGAAGAATCCAGTCGCGGCGGGTCCACGTATCTCCACGACAATGTCGAAGAGGGAGACAGCCTCACCATCGGGAAAGTTACAGAGAGTTTTCCGTTCGAGACCAGCGCCGCAAAACACGTCATGATTGCCGGCGGCATTGGCATCACGGCCTTCATTGCTGCAGCACAGAAGCTCAAAGACCAGAGTACGCCATGGGAGTTGCATCTCTGCGTCCGCTCCGCAGCAGACGTCCCTTTCCGCCGGTATCTGGATCCGCTCGGCGCCAACCTGAAGATCTACAGCAAAGCCGACAGCCAGCGCCTCGACATCGGCAAGCTGCTCGGTGCTCAGACCTCGGAGACGCACATCTACTGCTGCGGCCCGGAACGCCTGATGCAAGCCGTGACCGACACGGCCAAAATGCTCAGCTTCCCGTCCTCAAACCTGCATTTCGAGGCCTTTACGACGACGCTGACCGGCGACCCCTTCGAAGTCGGCTTGAAGAGGTCCGGAAAATGCTTGAGCGTGCCGTCTAGTGAGGTGCTGCTGGACGTACTGCGCGACGCGGGGCTGGACGTGCCGTCGTCGTGCGAGGCGGGCAATTGCGGGACGTGCAAGGTCAGGGTCGTTGCGGGGAGGGTGGAGCATCGCGGGACGGCGCTTTCGGAGAACGAAAAGAAGGGCGAAATGCTGAGTTGTGTTTCGAGAGGCGTGGGGAGGATTGAGCTGGATTTGTGAGGGAGGAGTATGGTGGACGCCGCGGTAGATTGGTTTTTGGTTGCTGCCGTCTTCCGGGTAGCTGTCGCTTAATTTTTTATGGTAGATGGTACATGTCCAACAGTTTTCTTCCTCGCACATCAAAAGACGAAGACATGAGAGTTATGGAAAGAGAAGATGACGGGCATTGGAAAGAAATAATTGATCCAGGCTCACATGGAGAGGAGATGTCGAGTTGAAAGAATCCGGCCTCTAAGGGCTTTCTAGTTTGTTTTTTATTTGTTTTGATTACTTTATTTATTATGATTATTCATTCAGGTATTCATTCATCCGTTCGTTGTTCATCGATGGCGTCTAAACATTTCAAATCAAGCAGGCGCAAGCGAAGCTGTAGACGTCGTTAGCATTGATCAGAAGCGACATGTTCAAGAAACGTACCAGCCCTCCTGCCTAGAAGAAGGGTTGCAGGTGCCGTGGAAGGTCGCGTCAAAGGATGCGCACTGCATTGTCCGTTAGCAAGTAGCTCCGGTCTGATAGAACGTCATGCACCTACGTAAGAGTTGCACTGATCGCAGCTGGTGATGCAGTCCGATGCCATCGCATTCGGGCTGAAAGTGTCCGGCGTCGCGGTTGGGGTCGCAGTCGGAGTCGCAATCGGAGTGGTGATGGGGGTGAAGGCCAGGGTCGGGATTGGGTTCACATTAAGCGGAGTCGCGACCGGGGCAGCGGTGGCGGAAACGACGAGGAGAGCCAGGATGCTGAGGAACTGCATGATGATGATGAAGAGGGAGGTTGTTTGTTTGTTTGGGCGTGAAATTATTTCGTAGAAGTCGTGGACGGTGGTAGATGGTGGAAGGACGTGGGTAGATGACAGATGTGGCTGGATTATAGAGTTAGAGGCGGCGCGCCAGAAAGTCTAAATACCACGGCCACGAGCTCCACCGTCATCGGCCAGGAACGCCAGGAACGCCGTGGTGACGACAAACAACACCAGGGCTCCAGTGTTCCTACGACGTTCGTGGAAGGGACTCCTCATCCCGCCCACACATTTTTACGTCGTGTACAAAATGGCGGTCACGGCGGTCAACTGCTGCTCCGTGGTCTCCGTGATTCCTGCACGGAAAACAACGCGTCACCGCGTTCAACACCGCTTCTTCCTCGTGATCTGGCTGCCTTGCCAAGCGAGCCCCGTTTTTTCGGCTTCCAGCCTCGATGCCGTGCGGGGATAATGGCATGATTCACGGGTTATCTTATCGGATAGGGAGGGATCGGCGGGCGCTCGGTACGCTGCGGCCCCGTATTTTTCTTGTGATGGGCTGCCGGAGACGCAGGAACCCGTCCGGGAGCGATTCTAAGGGTTCGTGGCTTGGGTTTCGATGAGGAACGCATAAATTGGGCGCATGGTTATGATGATGGTTGGGAATGACGAATTCGTTGTGCTTTTTTGTTTTTTAATGTTTTTGCAGGATCAATGGCTGCCTTCGCTGATGTACGGAGTAGTTACCCGGAGATAGATACGTCCCTTGGTCAGTGCCAATAAGCGGTCTGTTATTGTGGGCGCGATCCCATCACCTTCGAGCTTGGATGCAACGTATTGGCATGTGCTTTATACTTTTGACTTTCCGTGGTTGTGATTTTACTAATTGTAACTAGGGTTGTGGACAGGTGGTCTCAGGGAAGAGAGCAGTAGACTAGTCGAAAAGACTTTGTTCGCATTTTCCGTGACATTAACTACGTAGCATGTATTTCAGAATGAAGGAGTACTATGAGATTGAAGATGTACAGTTATATAGCTAGAGCGTCTATCTTATAATTAAGACCCCGCAAAACCACATACTCTATCGAAGGTTTAAATATTTTATTTACTTTATATATTACTTAACCTTGGAGGTATTTGTAGAAATTTAGTAGTTTACCTTTAAAAATATTCAAGAGTGTATAAATGGCTATAGTATTTTCAGGTCTAAATCTAGAAACTTAAGGATTTTTATTCTTGAGAACCGCTGTTATAGGTATATGAAAATTATTTAACTTATATAACCGTAGTATAGAAGAATGCGAGTCTACTTAGACAGAGAGAGGATATTAGATATCTATAATCTAAAGTATATATTAAAGAAATAATGCCGTCGGAGGGGGGAGGGGGGAGGAGTTCGCGAGGCCCTATAAGGATATAATAATATTAAATCCTTATGTAAAGCTAGGCGCGAGGAATTAGACGCCGCTTATCCTCCTAAATTACTACTACCTATAGAGGTATATATGCTGCTATCTAAAAGAATACGTTTTCTCTTTAAGATCCTTATTCCCTTGCAGTGGATAAACGTGTGGTGTAAGGGGTAAGGCTGTAGTGTAACAACTAACTATAATAAGGCTGAAAAACCGAGAGTTATCGGAGTAATCCTAGCTGACAGGATCTTAAAGAGAAAACGTATTCTTTTAGATAGTAGTATATATACCTCCATAGGTAGTAGTAATTTAGGGGGACAAGCGGCGTCTAATTCGTCGCGCCCAGCTTCACAATAAGCCACCTGGTTCATAATCACTTTGCCTATTTCTTTAAGATTGTTCTATTATGCTTCGCAATAGCTTGAAAGCATTTTACTATTCACGGATTACAGCAATGGAACAATTCGATGAAACAGTTATAGAGTTTTTAGAGGGCTCTGCGCCGTTACCACGTACTACTTTCGGTGCCATCGATGAGACTGGTGAGATAGTTTAACTTTACAATAACCTATAGAAACCGTTTTAGAACTAACAGTTAATAAGAAACATTTTGTTATATAAAAGCCTTTGGGAATAATTCAGGTCCTGGTACAGCGGAGCCCTCAAACACTAACTCTATTTATGCGTTGGCCTCTTGTACAGAGTTTATCACCACAATTACTGCTCTCCCACTTGTTGATTAGAAGATCTGGACGTTAGATGAAGATGTTTTCAGATTTCTTCCAGAGTAGAAAGATCCTCAAATTCTATCATTCAACGAAGCTGACCAGCCTATCTTCCGTCCAGCAAATAATGTCATAACACTACGGTGCGTACAGTTAGCTGGTTTCACGCTTAGCCAGTTGAAATATAGAGGTTTTAGCTAATACAGGAACATAGGCATCTATTGACGCACACAAGCGGCATGGCTTATCCATTCGACAGCCAGGTTCTTCTAAAATATCAAACACTGACTGGACCAAGCCCTGCAAAACCAGAGACTATAGTAGGTATCATAGGGGACCCGAACTTCCTCTCGGCTAATCTCACATTTCACGGTGGCGTCTTAGAAGGATGCCTATAAAATGTTCCTTGTCAATGAGCCCGGCGAAATATGGATGAATTCGCCTGGCATAGAATGGGCTGGTGTGATGGTAAGACGGTCCAATACTCCTTGAGCATGGTATTCCTAACGATTCCATAAGGTCGAGCGAACCTGCGGCATGAGTCTAAGCGATTATGTTCAAATGTCCATCTTCCGACACCTGGGGATCAAAGACATGACTTTCCATATCGAAAAGCGACCCGATTTACAACATCGCTTGGCAAATTTTTGGCAATATAAGGCAGATAGGAGTCTTCAAGTTGAAGACGAAAGGTTTCTACCATACACTGTAATCGACGACTTTGGAGGGAGCGGGCTTTATGGAAGTGCTGAGGACTTCCTCAAGATCTGCAGCGCGATCTTACGAGGAGATGAAAGAGTCTTGAGCATTGAAACTGTCCAACAAATTTTTACACCCCAGCTAGAATCCACCGCTGGACTTGGTGTCTCCTGGCTTAGTCCCAACCCCGGAAATATCTGCGGCATTCCTCAAGGTGCAGATATCAATTTTGGACTAGGCGGCTTTCTCAACCTGAGCAAAATCTCGGGGAGAAGACAAGCTAAGTCCATTGCTTGGTCTGGCCTTCGAAATCCTCACTTCGTAAGTTACAAATCTGATGAGCGTTATTTCATTCCTCTAACTAAATCTGTAAGTGGATCGATCTTCGAAGCGGCCTTGCCGGAGTGCAACTTATGCACTTCCATCCAACTGGCGACAAGAGGGCCATAGAATTACTCTGGAGGTTCGAAGAAGCGGTATACTCGGCTCAAATATAGGCATGATGTAAAAAAGTTAGCTTGGAATATAGTTTCTTGGAAGCCAAATTTGTATAGCTCTTTGATGTAAATGGGACTTAGTATTCAATAAGTGAAGGATGAGATATCTGGGAGGCCAAATAAGCTAACGCCTGTGATATCTTGCGCATTGAAGTGTTTGCATGGATTACAAGAGTCTTTATTTAAAATAATAAATGAAACACGACAGAAAAACACGGGAAAACATTCACCTGAACATTCTGTTGGACTTTTTCCACAGAGAGTAGTCTATGACTTGCGTCGAACGACTATTTAGTTATAAAAGCATTATATGATACGATAAATCAAAGTCAAGTAGAGCTTCCCGACTTAAGATAACATGATTTAAAAAAATAAAAAAAACGATCGAACTAAACTATCTTCGTGCTATGGGAAAGAGCCATATGCAAGAAAAGGACACTGGAATTTTTTTCTCGTAATGCAATACCTACACAAAAGAACACTGTCAAGACTAGCTACCCAACGTCTCCACCTGCTCGACACTACTGGCCTGCTCGATCAAGAAAACCCCGCAAGTCCGTCACGGGATCTTCGTTTTCGACAATACCCAAGACAGTAGAGGGTTTCTTGTATCCCAAGAGTGAGAGCATCTTGTCGCTCATTGTGAGAACCTTGCTTCTTGGTACTGCCAAAAACTGGTTCTCCTCCGTGCGCATAGTACCTCTCACGAAAAAAAGCCCATGGACTTTGCGGACTTCACCTTTGACAGAGTTGTGACCTCCGCCATGGTAGCAGGAAGCCAGGAATATGATTGCAGAACCTGGCTCCATCTCTGGTTGACGCTGCATTAGCATTTGCCACACTAATTGTAGTCTAGGAGAAGTTGTCCAGTATTCGTTGGATTGAAGCTCTGATATATACTTACCAGCGAAGCAGACTTCATCAGTGCGTGGAGGCCGCTCATCATCCCACTTATGGGAGCCTGGAACAAACATCGTTGCGCCATTTTCACGGGTAGTCTTAGTCCCTGCGATCAAGCAAGCGAATTGGCCAGCCTTCTTGAGGTCAAAGTTGTCCCCATGCCTGGTCCCATGAACGTTGTCATCCCTGTGGAGCCTTTGACGAGGTGCGCCATAGCCGATATGAAAGGTGATGCTGATGCTCAACAGTGGGTCGATGCTGTTTTCTTCGAGATGATCCTCACGTATGACGCTGAAGTTATCTTGGAGAATGGATTTCCGAAGCTTGTCCAACACAGGCAGCTCGCAGAGTTTGGCCACTGTCGGTGATTTGCCAACAAGACCGGGTATGGCAGTCGTTTCCTTAGGGATGATATGCAACGCGCTCTTCTCCGTCGAGCGGACATTCTTCTGGTGCTCTTCGACTTCCTTATCAATGGCAGCAAGGTCTTCTCTGTCGACAAGGTCTGTCAAGATTACACCGCCATCGCGCTCTATGACGTCGAGGATATCCTGAAGTGGAGCGTTGGAAGGCAACGAAGTGATAGATGCTGTGGGTTTATACGACGAATCAATTGGCGGAGGCGGCCCGGATACTTTGATTGCCATGATGGAAAATTGAAGACAATGATAGTGATAATGCCCAAAGCCTGATGAGAATTGTCGACGGCTGATGATCTATGATACGGGTGCCACTATGCAGAGATTAATCAACGCATGAGTTTAAATAACCAATTGGGTTGCTCCAAGTCCTGTATCTTCCAAGAGAGAATGCCGAAAGTTATCAGTTGAGGTAAGTTTTTGCGGTGCATATATGTACGTCAACGATTCTTATCTCTTTTGTCTTACCTTATCATCCAGATTGAGAAGCCTGGCCCCGCACCAAAGATATGCATGAGCATGTCGGTCCTCAACCAATCAAGACTCCAAACTGAAAGGGATCAAATTTCCCTTTTGGTCAAGGCGGGGTTGACAAGGAGCGCAGATTACACTGCGTATCGCATCTAGGCGTACTCAATGGGAAGTGAAATGCGGCTGGGCCAAAATAAATGACCAAAGCAGCGATCTGCACCATTCTAGGCGACTTCTGGGCTCCGACTATGGAAAATTCGGGCCAGAAGTGTGTGTGCCTATTCTTGACCTTAACTTTTTAGATGCGCTCTTTATGCTCGACTGCGGAAGGCAAGACTTTCGTGCCATAAGCTGCCAACCACGAAGATCTTTTCCCAATCTTTACATATTCCCAGAAGTTATACTCTACGAAGGTCCCAGACAAAACAATGGCAGAAATAGCTCTACCGGTACCTCCCCCGAGTATCAAGGCAACGCCTATTATCAGAGAACAGATCAGGACCTCGAATGCAACGTCACGTACGACTTTTGATCCAAACAAACACCTAAATTATGTCGGGAAACCCGAAACCCTGTCACTCAAGGATCTTGGATTTTCTGAAGATGTCGGCATATCCACTGTCGCCGTCTCAAACCCATTTCCACTATTCGACGAAAGCGCCATGCGCATCATGAGAAGTGAGATTTTCACAAACGAAGTCTGGGACAACTGTATGTGGAGCACAGACTTTGCAGGCTGCCAGCTGAGAGGGCACTGTCCGAAGTAAGTTGATATTACCGTCTTTGATTCGTCAAATTCCGAGTTGGTATAAGTCAATCATAAATAATCCATGCTAAAAGCTCTAAAAGGTATGCACCATTCATGTATGATGCTTGGAAACACCCAAAGACCCTGTCTATTGTATCAGAAATTGCGGGAGTCGATCTCATCCCAGTTCTCGATGTAGAAATCGGAAACATCAACATCTCTGTCATGGACCCCAACGAAGACAAGGCAAAGGTCACCAAAAAGGCCGATGACGACGTCCCCGTTACCAAATGGCATGTCGACAGCTATCCGTTTGTATGTGTCGTGATGATGAGCGACACTTCCGACATGGTGGGTGGTGAGACTGCCCTCAAGACTGCTTCGGGAGAGATCATGAAGGTACGGGGACCGCAGATGGTAAGTTCTCCAAACCAGGAAGTAGCACATTTGCACGCTAACTTTATTCTAGGGATGTGCCATTGTCCTCCAAGGGAGATACATCACGCACCAAGCACTGGCTGCAGTAGGTGGAACTGAGCGTATCACAATGATTACTGCCTTCCGGCCTCGCGACGCTTTTATGCCCGACGACTCTGTCCTTACCACAATTAGACCCATCACAAATCTGTCCGAACTCTACTTCCAATGGACCGAATACAGAATCGAGATCTTGCAAGAGCGGCTTCGCGGGATGCTCAAAGTTTTGGAGGAGCAACACAGAGCCGAAAGACCAACTGATGTCAAACGGATCAAAGAGTTCCTCAAGCTCCAAGAAGAATGGCTTTCTATCACCAACAAAGAAATTCACAATCTCTAGGCGCTGTTGGACACTATGGGATTATGGCTTTTCGGCTGATTGGTTATCGTTAATGAGCGCTTCAAATTGTCAATGACTACGAGTATTCATTTGAAACTGCTTGAACTGTAGCCTTGCATGAGGCATCGCGTATCAACTATTTTGGTAGAGGACCTTCCAGCTTTGAGAGACAGTGCATATGCAGTCAAACACGCCATGCCACCTAATGAGCGCCGAACTTATTCGGTCCGATAAAATGACGTACCCCAAATCCTGGAGAGACATAAGATCATGGGGTGTGAACACCTGACTTAACCGGGCCGAATGAAATCTTGTTTATTGTAAAGCGCTGTTTCCCAGGCCTCCGGATCCTGGAGAGATGTGGGGTGTGAACACGCTGTGGGGTGCAGGTTAGGCGCGCTGTTCGTTGTTTCGGGTTCCTGACCGAAGCCGAGGTTCGTTATCGCTGTTGTCTCCGCTACTCTTATTTGAAGTGTAGAGATAAGTACCGGTTAGTAGAGAAAACTGTCCATGTAATGCAATAACTGATAAATGGCTAATTAAGAAGTGATATTCGTACCGAGGCGAGGCTAAAGATTACCCTTGGTGTTGAGTAACGGCATTTCGGGGCTCAACATCAACACCAATGTTCAGTGACGTAGGATGACTGTGATAAGCGATACGGAGTGGGCCAACTCCTTGTACAAAGCACTGACCTGCCGGATAGAAATTATCACTAACCAAATCGGCAAAAAAGTCCTCTTAATTGTTGGCACTGAACAAGCATGAGCTTCCGTGAAGCCGGACAGAAGTACTCTTATAGCCCGAGCAGCCGCAGTCTTCGAGAAACCGTCCTCTCCTCTCGCACGCCACCAGACGACAGACTCTGAACTCTCCCACATCGCTGACCTACATCTCCCGGCAATGGACTCCAAAATGGAGCAGTCAAAAAAGACTGCAAGCGACCTTCCGGAACTCCAATCCACTAGCAGCGTAAACAGCATCGACAATGTCGGCCAGGTCCAGAATGTCAACACTCTCCGCCGCTCACTCACCAATCGTCAAATACAATGGATTGCAATTGGAGGCTCCATCGGCACAGCTCTATTCGTCACCATCGGATGGGCATTGCTAGAGGGGGGCCCAGCCTCGATGGTAATAGCCTTTCTCTTCTACAGCAGCATCATCGGCGCAATCAACAGCGGCATAGCCGAGATGGTCGTATACATGCCAATTTCTGGATCTTTCATCCGGTACGCAGGGAAGTGGGTGGACGACGCCTTTGGATTTGTCGCCGGCTGGAACTTCTTCATCTATGAAGCGATCCTCGTACCGTTCGAAATATCCTCGCTCTGCATGGTTCTCACATACTGGAGAGACGACATTCCCGTGTGGGCCGTCTGCTTAGCCTGTATCATCCTGTACGCAGTGATCAATTTCGCGGCAGTTCACTGGTACGGAGAAGCGGAGTTTTGGCTCTCGTCCGGAAAAATCCTTCTGATCTTCATCCTCTTCTTCTTCACTTTCATAACCATGGTTGGCGGAAACCCTAGCGGTGACGCATACGGATTCCGCTACTGGAAAAAGCCCGGCGCCTTTGCCGAGCACATCGCCACTGAGTCTCTTGGCCGATTTGAGGGTTTCCTAGCAGCGCTATTCAAAGCGTCTTTTGTGATATGCGGTCCTGAGTATGTTTCCATGGTTGCCGGTGAAGCCATATATCCCCGCATCACAGTCAAAACGGCGTTTAAGACAGTGTAAGTTCTATCAATTCCACTGCAGTTTTTGCTTCACTAACTTTTTCAGGTACTGGCGATTAGGCTGTTTTTTCGTCCTGGGCGCTTTGTGTGTCAGTATAATACTGCCTTACAACGACCCAACGCTTGAAAGTGTCCTCAACTCCGACAAGGGCTCTAGCGGCGCGGCATCACCTTACGTTATTGCTATGCAAAACCTTGGAGTCAACGGTCTCCCACACTTGGTGAATGCGCTGCTTGTCACCACCATTTTCTCCGCTGGCAACACGTATTGTTTCATGGCTACGCGGTCACTGTACAGCTTGGCCCTTAACAAGCAGGCACCAAAATTCCTCCTGGCAACAAACAAAACCGGAACTCCTTACTGGTGTTTGGTTGTCGCAATGGCGTTCTCGTTCCTAAGCTTTCTGCAAGTGAGCAGCGGCTCTGCGCAAGTTATTACGTGGCTCGTCAACCTGGTCACTGCCTCCCAGTTGCTCAACTACGCCATGATAGGGATGACGTACGCATGCTTCTATAACGCTCTGAAAGCGCAGGGCGTTGATCGGAAAACTCTGCCATATCGAGGTATGCTTTGCGATTTTTGCTTGGTTGTCTCGAATGCTGACATGAACCAGGTTGGGGCCAGCCCTACGTCAACTATTTCGGCTTGACCTTTGTCACTGTCATCGTACTCATTCAAGGGTACACCGTCTTCCTCCCCGGTCGCTGGGACATTGGCAGCTTCTTCACCTATTATACGATGGTGTTTGTCTGTGCATTCTTGTTTGTGGCCTGGAAGCTCATTAAAAGGACCAAGTTTGTGCGCTCTAAAGATGCAGACCTTGTGTGGGAAAAGCCGGTTATCGATGCCTACGAGGAAAGCATAGACCCGCCCGTTGGATTGTTGGAGGACATCCGTTCTTCACTGGTTTCTGCCCTACGCATCAAAGTGAAAAAGCGAGACACGGATAGTGGTGTTTGAGTTGACGACAGGTCTGTGAGCCCAAGGCGACACGATGACGAACTTAGAAATGAAACGGCCGCAAATACCCCCAATGCCATGCAACATTATATTCGCCCGCTTCCATCAGAATTAACGTGACATATAAGCAAATGCACTGCTGAACACAACTTACAAGTGGCTTCTTGACATGAAATGACAGATTAACGAACAACTAACTGGGAAATAGTGGACAACCGATTCCTAGAGTCGTTGTAGCTAAGGTCTAAGACCTTATTTCCGAGGTACCTTGGTGTGAGTAAAACTATTCGAACAAATGGCAAACAATCTCTAGGTAGAAAGAAGTTGAAAAACGTCCCTCTTCCCTTTGCTATGCACAAACCAATAAAACACTATTCCAAATTATAAACCAAAGGTATTTCTTTGGATGATAAGAAAAGATAGAATAGCTTCATCCGAGCATGACTAAATCATCGTCAGTAAGATTGGCGGAGATTAGAAAGCAACCCAACAAAAACCACTTACCCTCTAGGTTCTGGTCCCGCATGACCCCTATCCAATGATATTTACCCTTCACTGTATACTTAATACGGCTTGGTCTAGCCATAATATCAACCCCTTCACCAAACGTAAACGGCTGCGAAAGGTTTGCTGTGACCTGGGCTTTTGAGTTGCGTCTCCTTCCAGAGTTTGCATCGCCGCCAGGAAAGTTCGGTAGACCAAAGCAATCCTGCAGAGGACTTAGCGGATCGCAAAGCCTAGAGAGGTCTGCGTCCATGGCGAACGAATCTCCCCCGGAATTTTGGAGAGACCCGGTTCGAGGTGTGGGACAAAGGCCGTTGCTTGCCTCGTACTCGTCTTTCCTCCTCCATACCTCTTCTGTCACTTCCACGCAGCGATCTACAATCCCCGTGATCATGCGCCTCGACATGCGCTTCCAGCGCTCGCGGACCCAGGCCCTGTCTTCCTCTTCCATGACCTCGCAGCCGGCCACCATGAGGGGGAAAGTTTGCACGACTATCGTGCGAGACGTGAGTGGGACGGTGGCGAGGAAAACCATTGTTTTCTGCGCCAGTTCGCATGGCGATATCGAGCTAGGGAGCTCGGGAACAGCCTGCCGGAGGAGGAGAAGCGTAGCCCATCGGTATGCTTCAGCTGTCTGGACCAGGTCTGGGTTGTTGACTGTCGGATCCTCTGATGCCCATCCAACTGGTGGGATCCAGCATTCGATGGCTCGTTTTAGTTCTGCTGCCTGAGAAATAATGGTCGGTGAATTTCCTGCTGTGCTACTCCTCTTCCGAACACGCCGGACAAGATCTGCCACTTGCCCGAGGATGGGAAACAGCGTCGCTGCGCAGCCCATGAGTGGATCAATTTGCAACTCCTGTGGTGTCGAGCCTAAAAGACTGCAGGCAGTCATGAATTCGAAGTCGGTAAAACCTCCATCGTCCACAGAAGTCAGACGGGCAATGACGTCCATGTACATCCAAGTGTTGGACAAAAAGCTCAAGCGAGTCAACTCGCCGGTAGAAAGCCTCGAAGCTCTATGCGCGAAGATTGCTCTTTTGATAATCGCCTTGGCGGTTTTAATATGTTCAATACCAGTGGATGGTTTCTGATGATCCCAGTTTGCTGCGAATCCGAGAGCTAGCGTTGTTGCGAGCGCTGCATCAAGTCGAATCTTACCATTATCGGTAGCCATGGCTTCCATGCTGCATTGGACGTGGCCGATACCCTGGATGCGGAGTTGTGGTTGGATCTTACCCATGTGAAAGCAGGTCATTGCAGAGATCGCGTGGTAAAGTGCAGGACAGTCCTTTGCCAAAGGCCAAATAAGGGTTCGCCAGGGATTCTCGGTTGGATCATCTTTTACGGAAAGTATCCGGCATGTTTGGCGTTCAAAAAACTGCGTTATCATCTCTGGGCTGCCACTCTGAAGTCGTGGCTGGCGCCAGAGAGAGTAGAGCTCCAAGTCATCCAAGAGACTAGAATGCGGCGATGATGGTTCAAACGACCAATGCTCTCGTTCAATGCTCGAGACATGGCTTGGAGTTTGTCGGGAAGTCTCCACGGACGCCTCGTCTTGGACTGCTCCATCCAAAGGCAGACTTCCTGGCTCGTTTGCCACAGAGCCATCGAATGCCTGCAGGTCGAGCCCTTCATTGTTTGTTAGATTTATATCGTTGCTTTGGGCGAGTAAATCAAAGTGCTGTGAAGTGTTTTGACTACAGAAAGCAGCATTTATGTCAGTATCCGGAGAAGACAGGTCAAAGTCGACGATCTTAGGCGTTTGATTGCGCGAGAGGTTAACGGGTGCGGTAAAATCTGACCGTAGTACGTCAAAAATCCCAAAACCGTCAAGGTCAAACATGCATCCAGCACTGAAGCTAGCCACGGCGGATTCTCCTGCTTCCCTTTCTGCTTCAGTGGTTGGAAAAAGGTCGAACGAGGGAGGCGTAAGTAGAGCATTGACAGTACTTGGCTCTGGCCTTCTTTGAAACTCAGAGCCCGTGCATAACCCTTCAATAGGAAAAGACGCGAAACAGTTGCCGTTTTCGTCTGAGAACATCTCGCTCAGACAACTAGACGACAATGGCATTGCATTTTGAAGCTGGTTTTCAGCTGCCGCACCCTTGTCAAGTGGCCGAACTACGGTCTCGGTTAGTGATGTCCGGGAAATTTGTGTTCTTTGGATGTAACATACTCTGGTCTGGTTGCTCACTTGCATCGCGGGATTTTCCAAAGGCTTTCCATCTGATGTTCTTCTTGTAACCACCGCAGGTAATTCTACGGCGCACGCATTGTTGACAGGAAGGCTTCGTTTCATCGCACTTCATTCTCTTTGACTTGCAAGTGACACAGCCTGCCAAGAGCTTCTGTCAGTACTTATCCGAGTTGGGTGATCTAACTTTGAGTCAGGTGCGGGGGTGGATGGCAACATGCCATTACGACTCTTCGGCTGTCTACGCTTTGACATTCCTCCGCTTTTGGTGTCTCCGTCTGGAGCTTTAAATGGCGCGTTCTTAACCGAACCGCCATTTTCTTTGGAATGGTTGGTAGCGTAGTCCGTTTGTGGCAATAAGGTTTGCGAAGACGGCGAGCTCATAGTGATCTTTCCTGGCAAGACGATGTGACAGCAGATGGGATGGAATCATAAGAGAAATAGGCGTTAACACTAAAGCTAACTGTAACAGCAAAGGGCGTTGTGAGTTGCGGCGAGTTGTCGTTGAGGTAATCCGTTGTTGCAAGAACCACATGGGCCTTACCCCACCCTTGAGGGCTTTGAGAGATCGACAGTGCCCCGCATCCGATAACAGCGAGAGCGACTCGATTGGTGCCTCGGCACATCAATCCTTGTGCGCGATGCTGCCAGAGGAGTGAAGGAAAGATCTTCCCGATCAAGATAAGACGTTACTGGTGTAAGCCTCGGTTCTTCTGCGACCCGTTCCGCTGCAAACCTGCATGTTTAGCTCACGAAAGCAAGCGAAATGGCCCAAAGCAAGAAAGGGGAGTGGAAAACAAATGCAAGTTCGAACTGTCCATTACTGCCGTCGATGCTGTCTAAGAAATGCATAAAAACACTTGGGTGTGGTTGATAGGTCCATTACAGAAACGACCGATGAGAACGTCAATGTTAACGAGAAAATTTGGGCGGTTAGGCTTCAACCGGTACGTGGAAAACATGCAGCATAGGTATGTGCAAAGGAACAACTGAGTGCTATGGTTTGTGTTTAGGGCTTACGTACATGACTTGGTCGGCGATCCCGTGGATAGAGGACAGCATGGTCCGCCGGAAGGCCATGGCGCCGGGTCGTAGTATTGTGGTAGTGACATCGGGACGGTAAAAAAGAATATCAAGTGCTTTAAAGCAGTGCTTGGAATTCCAAGACATTTGAAAGGTTTTGTCTTCAACAAGGATGAGCTATTTGCCAATAGATCCCATGACAACTACAGACCAGTTCCTGACGTGACAATCGCGCGACCGTTAGGAAAAAATATGCTTTTTCGGAAAATAGGAGCAGCTTCTTCCGGTATTTTGGTAGGAAAGATCTGCACTACGTACATAATGATCTACGAGACGATAGTTTGCGGTGTACATGATACTCTAGCTGCTGTTGGGTTATTTAACGAGCTGCAGTATTGCTTTTTCCTTGAATTTATTTTCAGTGAGCTGGGCCATTGCTAGATTTTATAGCGTTAGTATAGAGAGTTAAAATTTACCTTTTATGCGTATGTAAATTGTAGCGAGATAAGTTTCAGCTAGATTGCTGATTGATAGACTGAATAATCTCCCCGCATATACCATTTAACTCTTGAGAGCGTTAGGTTCCATGCGTAGCTGTAAACCATGTTTAAACATTTATGTTTTCTAGTAGAATTCGTTTCCGATTTTCATATAATTTCGAGAATACAAATTTTCTACATTAAAGCTTAAGCTTTTCTTTTAGATAAGTCGAGCTAAGGTAAAGAGACTTAGAAGTAAACGTCCTTATTCCTCCTAACGAGTGCTATCTACACGAGTATTTATATCCAAAAGGAATATTCTAGAGGGAACTGCTTAGAAATTTAAAAGAAAGATATAGAAATAATAAGAAAGAAAGAATCCCAAGTGATTTAGTATAACCTTCTATCCGGAAGAATAAGTTCCTAATATAGAAGTCTTTTAGGTAATACCTAGACTTCTAATAGGTACCTTCTAGTACATTCCTTTACTACTGCAGTTAACCTCGAGCGAGTCGGGCCGACGGGAATACGAAAAACAGATAACGATTGTATGCAAAGGCACTGTTTTTTCGCTCTAAGGAGTAATAACCCTCTAAACACTTCAACATTTACTATGGTACTACTGTAGTTAGATGGCCCGGATGAGACGGCAAAATATTCGATGTCTGACTGTAGTGTACTTGATTTGTCATCACGGGTACTCGGAGAGCCGAAAGTGCGAGCGAGTAGAGTCTGACAAATACCACACAAGCATGCATGTCAGCGGCCTTACCGGCACCTTCTATAGTACAAAAAGGTATGATAAGAACAGCTAAAGCTTTACAACTATCAACCTTACTGTGAAACCCGACTTTATTTGCCTATCTCCATTTCAACAGTTCTCCACCAACCCGGGCATCGACAATGGCGACTATTCAGAACCCAGCTATCCCAAAAGGCTCCACGGTACTGGTTACGGGCGTGAATGGCTTCATTGGCTCTCACGTGGCAGACCAGTTCCTTCAGCTCGGATACAAAGTGCGCGGTGCTGTTCGGGATGTCCAAAAGAACGCTTGGATGAAGGAGTTGTTCACGAAAAACTACGGAGAGGGCCAGTTTGAGCTTGTCGCTGTCCCAGACATTACGAGTGAAGGGGCCTTCGAAGCAGCTGCAAAGGGTTAGTACCTGTTTTTTGATTCAATCCTGTTGAACGAGTTCGCTGACCAATATACAGATGCATCTGCAGTTGTACATGTGGCCTCGGTTGTAAACTTTGATCCGGATCCGACCAAAGTCATCCCCGTCGCCGTTGAAGGAGCAGTGAACTCGCTAAAGGCTGCAAACAAAGAGCCCAGTGTGAAGCGATACGTGCTGACGTCGTCGTCAGCCGCGGCATCATTGCCGAACCCAGACAAAGAGAAACTGATCACGCGAGACACTTGGAATGACGAATCGGTCCAAGCGACCAAGGTAGACGCTCCGTACCCCCCAGAACTAGCTATGCACACCTATGCTGCAAGCAAAACTCTGGCGGAGCAGGCCATCTGGAAGTTCTATAACGAGAACCAGGAGAGAAGACCGGACTTGGTTGTCAACACAGGTATGTTTTAACATTATCGCCATCATTCGAGCATTACTAACTCGCACAGTGCTCCCGAACATGAACTTTGGAAAGAGCCTTGACTATACCAACCAGGGGGCACCTTCTACATCGAAGATCATCGAGGCCTTGTGGTATGGTGTAGACCTCGATCGGGCTGCACAGTTTGGTCCGCGTAAGGATACGCCTATTTCCTCTGTGGTCTAAAAACCCTTTCTAACAAACAACAGAGTACTTCGTCGACGTTCAAGACGTTGCACGGCTGCATGTCGCAGCAGTCATCCATCCCGGCGTCAAAGGAGAAAGGATATTTGGTTACGCGGAGCGTTTCAACCACGACGCAGTCCTGGACATATTGCGGAAACAAAACCCCGAGCGCGAGTTCGTTCCGAACTTTCTGAGCGGAACGGACCGGTCCGTGATTGAGCTTCGAGGCCGCGCCGAGCAGCTGTTGCAGGAGCTGGGTCGTCCGGGTTTCACGTCGATGGAGGACAGTGTGTGGATGAACTCCGAGCCCCTTCGCCGCCAAAAGTGACATGGATGTTGAAGCGGTTGTTCAGAAGTCTAGCTAAGAGTATCTCCGCTATATAAATGGCTTTGAACTATTTGATATTACAACTTGGTATATGTGAAGCTGGGCGCGAGGAATTGGACGCCGCTTGTCCTTCTAGATTACTGTTACCTATGGAGGTATATATGCTGCTATCTAAAAGAA